TCTCACGTAAGACCACGCGGCCATGCGAGCAGCGTAGCGCTGAGCGAGGCGTTGGGTAGCATTGCGCCGAGCACGGCGGCGACCAGCTTTCCCTCGAGCACGGCGGCAAGCAGCTAAGCGCCGAGCGCGGCGGCGAGCAGTTTAGCTCCGAGCGCGACGGCGAGCAGCTTAGCGCCAGGCGCGGTGGCGAGCAGCTCAGCGCCGAGCGCGGGGGCGAGCAGCTCGGCGCCGAGCAGCTCAGCGCCGAGCGCGGCGGCGAGTGGCTCAGCGTCGAGCGCGGCTGCGAGGGGCTCAGCGCCGAGGGTGGCGGTGAGCGGCTCAGCACAGAGCGCGGCGGCGAGCGGGCTGAGCGCCGAGCGCGGCGGCAAGCGGCTCAGCGCTGACCGCAGCGGCGAGCGGCTCAGTGCCGAGCGCGGCGGCGAGTGGCTCCGCACCGAGCGCAGTGGGGAGCAGCTTTGCGCAGAGCGCGGCGGCAAGCAGCGTTGCGGCGAGCGCGGCGGCAAGAAGCGTTGCACCGGGCGCGGCAGCAAGCAGTTGAGCGACATGTGCAGCGGCGATCGGCTTGGCAACGAACGCGGCGGCGACCGGCGCGGGCAACGGGGGCCTGGTTGGCGGGAGTCGCGACAGGAACTGAGGGAATTGGGGGCGAGGACGGGCGGCGTTCGGGAGCGGGGGAGAAGGCGGGCTGGGGAGAATGGGACGGTGGGGGAGAGAAGTTAGGGAGAGGGGAGAAGGGGAGCGAGAGAGAAGCGGGAAGGGGGAGAGAATTGTAGCTGGGGAGAAGGGAGAACGGAAGGAAGGGGAGGCCGAGAGAATGGGAGAGGCAGAAGAGGGGAGCAGGAGAGGATGGGAGTGAGAGAGAAGGGGAGAGAGAGAGACGGGCAGCGGGAGAGAAGGGGAGCCTAAGAGATAAGGGGAGAGGCAGAGAAGGGGAGCAGGAGAGAATGGGAGCGAAAAGCGAAACAAAAGGGGAGGGGGAGAGAAGGGCACCGGGAGAGAAGGGCAGCGGGAGAGAAGGGCAGCGGGAGAGAAGGGCAGCGGGAGAGAAGGGGAGCGGGAGATAAGGGGAGCCTAAGAGATAAGGGGAGAGGCAGAGAAGGGGAGCAGGAGAGAATGGCAGGAGGAGAGGATGTGAGCGAAAGAGGAAGTTCGGCGTAGCGACTAAGGGACAAACTAGTTGGGGCAGAGGGGTTCACTGTCGAGACATGCGAGCAGGGAAACTGCGCGAGCATGTGCAGTTACTTGATTGGTTGGCGGGAAACCCCGTTTCGTTTGGTGGGAAACATGGCATGAGCAGCACTTGGTGCGAACAAACTCAAGTCGCAAACAGCGCGCGACCAGTCGCACAGTCCCCACTGCCCGCAAGTTGAACCAAGTGGACCCAACTTCAATTTCAAGTTGGACCCGGGTTCACTACTCCTGCTAAACCAAGGCTGGTTGCCGATTGGTCGAAATTATTGTCTGCGCATGATAGTGGTCGTACGATCTGTCACGATAACATTCCCGTCGCAGGTGCAATTCGATTTCGTGGCCCAAGGCAAGTTAAAAAATCCGGGCTGCTGCCCGGCGCGAAGCAAAATATTCGCTCTTGGGTCGTTTCTAGTTGGGCCCAAGTAGAAAGAGGGGTTACTATTATAACCTCTGGCCTGGTTTGTTAGGACTTCACCTATCTTGCGCTGTCCTTTGCCATGGCTGTACAACATCCTACCTTATAGAATGGACCAATCGAGAAGGGGGCCAGGGGAGAAGGGGATCGGGAGAGAAGGGGAGCGGGAGAGAAGGGGGTCGGGCGAGAAGGGGGTCAGGCGAGAAGGGGGTCGGGTAAGAGGGAGAGCGGGAGAGAAGGGCAGAGGGAGAGAAAGGGAGCGGGAGAGGAGTGGAGTGGTTGACGAGGGGGGGGGTGAGGGGAGGGGGAAATAAGGGGCATATGGGAAAGCGGGAGGAGTGTGGAGACGAGCAGGAGAGAAATGGGATTGGTGAAGGAGGGAGAGGGGTAGAAGGGGGAGGGGGGGCGAGGGGGTTTGCGGAGGGAGAGAACATGGGAAGTTGGGAGGGTAAGAGATAGGAGAGGGGGGAGATGGAAGAGAGATGCGGTGGGCGGGAGAGTCTGCATAAAACACCCAAGGTGGGGTGGGAATGAGTGTGTGCGAGTACAATGATGTCAAGGTACCGTCAGGGGTTAGTGTGGGGGCGCAATCTCTGCCCCAGACACACCCAGCTCCCCCCCCGCCCCTCCACAAACAGATCCCCCGCTAGCACGCGGACCTGCCGGTGTTGACACCCCCCCTCGCTCTGTTCGCTCTCGCTGCACCCATATAGCTATAAGCCCGCGTGATGTGAGGGGAGCTGGGGAGTGCGGGAAAGGCATGTCTTGGAGTTGCATGGCTGTTGGCAGGGTGGGTGGCTGGAGAATGACAGCGTTCCTGTTGGTGCAAGTGGGGATGGGGGGGGGGGAGAGGGTAGTTTGGGAGTGAGGAAGGGAGGGGTGTTGGAAGGGTGACAGATAGGACAGCTTGAGGATGGAAGAGAGAGGAGGTGGGAGAAAGGGTGTGGGGAACACTATGAAGGTGGGTGATAGGGAGGGAGGTAGAGACGGGCTTAGGAGCGGATACTTGTTCCTGCAACGTTACGGGGGTGCGACTCCTCTGGCCAAGTCACACGCCCTCTCCGCCCCTCCCCCCCAAACAGATCTCCACCGGCCCACAGCACTGCTGCTGCCTACACCCCCCACGCTCACTGGTAGCTCACACTGCACTCACACAACTATAAGCACACATGTCGTAAGGAGAGGAGTTGGTGAGAGGCATGTGTTGGACAGCGTGGTTGTTGGCAGGGTGGGTGGCTGGAGAGTGGGAGGAGTAGGTGTTGGCTGGGGGTGAAGGGTAGGGAGTGGAGACAGGAACCGGCAAGGTAACAGGGGTGCACCACCTGTGCTCTACTCACTGGCTCTCTCCCCCCCCACCCCCCCGAACTGATTCCCGCTGGCCCGCAGGCTTACCAGCGTTGACATCCCCCTCACTCACGGGTCGCACTCACTGCACTCACACGGCGGTAAGCCCGCATATAGTACGGAGAGCGGGGGGGTGCGGGAACCGATATAGAATGGGAGCGATGGAGCGAAGGGTAGCGAGGTAGGGCGAGAGTGGAAAAGAATGGGATAAACCAAGAGAAGGGGAGCGGGAAAGAGCGGGAGCGGTAAAAGAATGGGAGAGAAGGGGAATGAGGGAGAAGGGGAGTGGGAGAGAATAGGAGAAGAAAGGGGATTGTGGGAGAGAAGTGTGACTGGAATGAGGCACGTGGTGGACAGCATTGTTATTTGCTAGGTGGGTGGCTGGACAGCGGGGGCCGTAAAGGTCAGTGAAGGCGGAGGAGGGAGAGGGTGAGTGGGAGGGTGTTCAGGATCCAGGAAGGGTGGCTTGTTGTGATGGTGAGAGACATGCAGATGGGAGGTTTGAAGAGAGGAGGTAGGTTTAGGAGTGTGCGTACACTGCATTCCGTGCTACCTTTGCGGAGCTTGCAAACACCACAACTTGCATTGCTAGGGATATGCCGGGTTCTTCCATGCCACTTCCCCCATTGCTCACTCAGTGTCCCCGTGCCCTCCGGGCTCTCAGTCTAACCCTGATATGCCCTTCCATCCTGCTCTCTCATCACCCTACTTACGTCCTCTCCTTTATATTGTGAAGCGCCCCGATAGCGCGCACTCGATGATTTCCCTTTACCCCCCGAATGACCGTCACAGCCCCTTACGGCAGAACCACATCCTCCATTTCCCCCTGCCCTTTTCTCCCTTTCCCCCTGCCCTTCTCTCTCTTTCCCCCTGCCCTTTTCTCCCTTCCCCCCTGCCCTTCTCTCCTTTCCCCCCTGCCCTACTCTCTCTTTCCCCCTGCCCTTCTCTCCGTTTCCCCTGCCCTTCTCTCCCTTTCCCCCTGCCCTCCTCTCCATTTCCCATTGCCCTCTTCTCCCTTTCCCCCTGCCCTTCTCTCTCTTTCCCCCTGCCCTCCTCTCAGTTTAACCCCCTCACCCCTGCACTTTTTGCCGTATCCACCCCTCCTTTTTCTCCTGGCCTTCTCTCGAGGGATGTGCTTACTGGCTGGCGGGTGGGGAGGTTGGAGCTCCCGCGCCATCTCAATATTAGGTTTAGTCGGCGGCGAGCAACAAGCCCACAGTGCGTGGCTCGAGGTGCGAGGTGCGTGGTCTCACGATTCCGCGTCTTGCGCGAGGACCTCATTTTCTTTGCGTCGTACGTCACCCTGGTCACAGGGCAACTTAGCGCCAAGCTCGTCTGCACGCGTGCCGCATGCGATGGCTAGCGCGACGATGTAGAAGGCGAGGCCGGGAAGCCTATGGTTGGGCTGCACATCCGGTGTTTGTGGCTACCGCGTTTCCCGATGCAGCTGACGACTTTTATAGCAGAGACGGGTCGGCGTACGTTTCTCGTTATCTTAATTTTAAGCCTCTAAGACCGGGCACGCACTGTTGAATGGGTACGGCGTCACTAGCAGATTATGATGCGGCGACTCTGTATCTGTTCCCTTTTTTTATTGTTGAAAGACTCGTAATCCTAGGTCCCTCACATGGGTTCACGACAGGTTGGAACTCTTGAGTTGTTTTTGTTTTGGGGGCATATGGTAGGGGTTTCTGATTGGCTCGCGTTCTTGCAGCTTGCTGATATGAATCGTCTGGGTCGCTCGGTGCTCTAGACATGTCGCCCACTGGGTTTTTTCGTTGTGTTGCCACACCTCCATGGGCGGTCATCTGCCCAGGGACGTTCGTGCGCCGGGCTCGTTTTGCCTACTAACTATTAAACTGGATTATTTATATCTTAATTATTTTCATGGAGCGATAGCTCAGTGGTAGAGCATTCGACTGCAGATCGAGAGGTCCCCGGTTCAAACCCGGGTCGCTCCTTCTTGTTGACTATGCATCTGAGGTTTCTAGTTGGTGGAATTATGATTAATAAGTGGAGCTTTTCATCTTGAAAATGTAGATTTTTATTTTTTTTTAAACTATATAGCTTGTACACGTGCTACAGAACCTTCATCACCACATCACTAGGACATATCAGTAATGTCATAGAGATTCACTTCACATTGTGTTACATCCCTTGCTTGGTATTACACGTGTATTCAATTGAGCAAATCATAGTCGTCCAGCTTATCGTTGTACTGTAGAACCTTCTGCTTGATCTTGCTTGTGTCAACCCACGTCAGCATATTCTCCATCGCCCTCGTTACCAGAAAGGCAGGGTCTTTCACAGCTTCCGGGCCAATGCGCACATGGCCCTGGAGGAGAGGGAGAAAGGAAGGGGTAATGGGGCGGTTGAGATGTCAAAGGCACATGTCCTGCATTGCTCATTGCTCACGTCACCAGAAAGGCAGGGCCTCTCACAGCTTCCGGCCCAATGCGCACATGGCCCTGGAGAGGGGAGTGGGGGGAATGGGGGAGATGAAGTGGCACAGGAGTCAGCATATCCTCCATCGCCCTCGTTACCAGAAAGGCAGGGTCTCTCACAGCTTCCGGCCCAATGCGCAGATGGCCCTGGAGAGGGGAATCGGGGGGAATGGGGGAGATGAAGTGGCACAGGAGTCAGCATATCCTCCATCGCCCTCGTTACCAGAAAGGCAGGGTCTCTCACAGCTTCCGGCCCAATGCGCACATGGCCCTGGAGAGGGGAATCGGGGGGAATGGGGGAGATGAAGTGGCACAGGAGTCAGCATATCCTCCATCGCCCTCGTTACCAGAAAGGCAGGGTCTCTCACAGCTTCCGGCCCAATGCGCAGATGGCCCTGGAGAGGGGAATCGGGGGGAATGGGGGAGATGAAGTGGCACAGGAGTCAGCATATCCTCCATCGCCCTCGTTACCAGAAAGGCAGGGTCTCTCACAGCTTCCGGCCCAATGCGCACATGGCAATTAGAAGGGGAATATGGGGGGATGAGGGGCATGATATGGCAAAGGTGTCAGTGTCTCCTCCATCGTTCCTGTTACCAGAAAGGCAGGGTCCCTCACCGCTTCCAGGCCCGATGTGCAAGTGGCCCTGGAGAGGGGGTAGGGTGTAAATTTGAGAAGGAAAAGGCACAGGCGTCACCATATCCTCCATCGCTCTTGTTTCCAGACAGGTGGGGTCTCAACAGCTTCTGGGCCGATGCACACATGGCACAAACGGGGGGAATGAAAAAGCGTCGGCATGTTCCCCGTCTCTCTCGTCACCAAAAATGCAGGGTCCCTGATGGCTTCCGCATTCCTATTACCTGCTGCACAAACGCCACTGCCCCCCTCATGTGCTCGCCCACTTTGAGTCGCGCCATCACCACTGCCAGCCTTCCCCCATGTGCTACCTCCCCTCCTCCACCCCCGCTCCCCCCCTCTCCCCTTTCCCCCCCTCCCCCCCTCTCCCTGGCCTCAGCTCGGCCCCCCACTGCTTACCTGCTGCACAAACGCCAATCCTCCCCTCATGTGCTTTACCATTTGAAGTCGCACCATCGCCACTGCTTGCCTTCTAGGCTCGTAGGTCACCTCTCTCTCTGCTTCACCTCTCTTTCCCCCCCCTTTCCCCCACTGGCTTATTACCTGCTGCTGCACAAACGCCACTGCCTCCCTCATGTGTTCCGCCATCTTAAGTCACACAATCACCACACTGCTAGCCCCCTCACCCCACGTTCCCCCCTTCCCCCTCCCCTTCCCCCCTTCCCCCTCCCCTTCCCCCCCTTCCCCCTTCCCCCTTCCCCCCTCCCTCCCCCCACCCCACCCCCCCCATGCTCCCTGGCCGCGCCCCCCACTGCCCACCTGCTGCACAAACGTCACTGCTTCCCTCATGCGCTCCGCCATCATCAGTCGCACCATCCCCACACTGCTAGCCTTACCTTACGTGAGGAGTCTATTTTTGAGGCGCCTCAAAAATAGACTCCTCAATTTGAGGCGCCTCAAAAATAGACTCCTCACTTTGAAACGCCTCAAAAATAGACTCCTCACTTTGAGGCGCCTCAAAAACAGACTCCTCACTTTGAGGCGCCTCAAAAATAGACTCCTCAGTCACACCATCACCACACTGCTAGCCCTACCCCACGTGCTGCCTCCCCCTTCCCCCTCCCCCCCCACCCCCCCATGCTCCCTGGCCGCTGCTTACCTGCTGCACAAACGCCACTGCCTCTCTCATGTGTTCCGCCATCTTAAGTCGCACCATCACCACTGCCAGTCTTCGTCTGTGGGGAGAACAAAACCGGGGAAATGGAAAAAAAAAAAAAAAAAAAACAAAACAAAACAAAACAAAACATGTGAAATTGACTGATTCCGGTAGGAATATAGGAGACAGAATAAATGCCTTAAACAGCCACATAAGCGTCACAGAATGCATAAATAATCCGAACAATTTATGTCTTCTTTCATGCAAGTTTATAAGAAAGGGGTATACCTGCAGAAGGAAGAGACGGAGATCTTATCACAAAGTGCCAGGCTCTTTTGCGTGGGTATCACCCCCATGTTGTAGCTGATGGGAGGGGGACAATATGGGTAGGGGGGGGGGGGGAGGAGGAGGAAGAAGACCCAACGACAGGAAGATCTTATCACAGAGTGCCAGCCTCTTTTGCGTGGGTATAACCCCCATGTTGTAGCTGATGGGGGCGGGGACAATAAGGGTGGGGGGGAAGAGGAGGAAGAAGAGTCACCAAATGGGAGATCTTATCACAAAGTGCCAGGCTCTTTTGCGTGGGTATGGCCCCCATGTTGTAGCTGATGGGAAGCAGAAGAGAGGAGGGGGGAGAGAGGAGGGGGAAGAGAGAAAAGGGGAGAGAGGAGGGGGGAAAGAGGAGGAAGAGTCAATGGGAGATCTTATCACAAAGTGCCAGGCTCTTCTGCGTGGGTATGACCCCCATGTTGTAGCTGATGGGAGGGGGAAGGGAGAAAGGGGGGATAGAGGAGGGGAGAGAGAGGATGGGGGAGAGAGGATGGGAGAGAGAGGATGGGGGAGAGAGGATGGGGGAGAGAGGATGGGGGAGAGAGGATGGGGGAGAGAGGATGGGGGAGAGAGGATGGGGGAGAGAGGATGGGGGAGAGAGGATGGGGGAGAGAGGAGGGGGGAGAGAGGAGGGGGGAGAGAGGAGGGGGGAGAGAGGAGGGGGGAGAGAGGATGGGGGAGAGAGGAGGGGGGAGAGAGGATGGGGGAGAGAGGAGGGGGGAGAGAGGAGGGGGGAGAGAGGATGGGGGAGAGAGGAGGAAGAGTCACGACATGGGAGATTTTATCACAAAGTTCACAGCTCTTCTGCGTGGGTATGCGTCCCAAGTTGTAGCTGATGGGAGGGGGATAATACTGGAGGAGGGGGGATAATAGTGGGGGAGGAGGATAATACAGGGGGAGGGGGGAGAATACTGAGGGAGGGGGGGTAATATAGGGGGAGGAAGGAGGAAGGCGAGCCAGCAAATCGGATGAGCTGAGCAAATGGGAAATCTAAATTGATATGGTGATTTCAATCTAGAAAAGGAGAGGACAGATGGGATTGCACTAATAGTGGGAGGGGATATAGAATGAGGGAGGGGATATAGAATGCGGGAGGGGATATAGAATGAGGGAGGGGGTATAGAACGAGGGAGGGAAAGCGGGCCCGCAGCTTATTAATGAGCTGGTCAGTCGTTTTGATTCAAAAGGGGTAGGTGGGGTCCAGTTTCTTGAGCAGCGTTGAGGTGACTTTTGAGAAGACCCAAAAGAAAGAGGGAGAGAATCCAGGATTCCCCGTCAACAACGGACCGTTCGAGAGAATCCAGGCAAGAATAGAGGGAGACGGAGGGGGAAGAGACCAGGTGGGGAGAGAGTGACCCACAGTTTATTAATGAGCTGGTCAGTCATTTCGATTCGGAAGGGGTCGGTGGGGTCCAGTTTCTTGAGCAACGTCGTCAGCTTTGTGATTTTACCGCACAGCCGGTTGTACCTGCACTCTCGATACACGCACAACCGCATACAAGCACAAACACAGTTCAGTTTCTTGAGCAGCGTCGTCAGTTTCGTGATTTTACCACGCAGCCGGTTGTATCTGCACTCTCGATACAAGCACAATAACACACAAGCACAAACAAGCACCAGCAAAAACGCATCCGCATCGGAACCACCCGAGCGCCTCTAGAACCGAGAATAACACTTAATTCCCTGCCCCGACTTCCGCCTTCCGCCTCTCCCCGACGCATCCCCAGAAACCCCTTTAAACCCCCACCCCAAATCCTCATCTCCCAATCGCATGACCTCCAGCTCTCGCTGGTTGTTCTCGCTCCTCCATTGCAGGAGATTCAACTTCCGCAGCAGCCTCCCCCCCCCACCCCTCCCCCCCGGATCCCCTTCCCCCCAACCCCCCTCCCCCTGCCGAAACACCCGACTCGTGCTGGTAACCCTAGTTGGAGTAATCGCCGCGTTTGGTGATGTGGTATCGTCGCATGGCCTCCAGCTCTCGCTCGCTGTTCTCGCTCCTCCAATGAAGGAGATTCAACTTCCGCAGCAGCCACTCCCCAGCCTTCCCCTCCCCCCCCCCCCCCCCCTAATCCCCTTACCCCAACCCCCCTCACCCTGCCGTAACCCCGACTCGTGGAGATTCACCTTCCGCAGCAGCCACTCCCCGAAACCCCTGCCTCCCCCCCTCCCCCCCAACCCCCCTCCCCCTGCCGTAACCCTGACTCGTGCTGGTGACCCTACTTGGAGTAATCGTCGCGTTCGGTGATGTGACCTCCCCCCCTTCCCCCCAACCCCCCTCCCCCTGCCATACATTCCAGGAGACTCACCTTCCGCAGCAGCCGCTACCCAACACCCCCCATCCCCTCCCCAGATCCCCTTTCCCTCCCCCCCTTCCCCCTTCTGCCTGAAAAATGTCAGCAACGCCATTAACCCGAGCATGCTAGAAGGTGTAAGGCAGCGTAACCCCTAAGTGCTGGTAACCCTACTTGGAGTAATCGTCGCGTTCGGTGATGTGGTATCGTCGCATGACCTCGAGTTCGCGAACGTTGTTTTCGCTCTTCCACTGCAAGAAATTCACCTTCCGCAGCAGCCGCTGCTCGTGATACTGCAGCTTCCTCATAACTGCTAGTGACTACAACTGCTCGTGATTAAAACAAAAAAGGCTCCGAAAGCTGTTATTCTTGTATTCTGGTGAAAACCTAGCTGCGCGTGAAGCCAATGATGATACCAAATGCTTGACCGAACTGCGGAATTGTACGGCGAACGGAAAATGCTAGCGCGTTGGATGCGCTGGGCAAGCGAAAGCAGAGGAGACGAAAACGCGAACCTATAGATTGAAACGCTAACCTAGAGACCTAGAGAGGAACGCTAACCTAGTAACCTGTAGACTGAAACGCTAACCTGAGACAGAAATAGCAGTACGCATCAGGAGGAACCTCTTCAGAATATTAGGGTGTGGAACGTAGGCGCTCGCACTCACCTGAGCTCGAACGGAGGCGACTGGTGGTACAGTGGTTTTAATAACGGTTTCAGCTTGTTGCAGTTGGATACTCGTATGGTGCAGTGTGGTGGAAGTTCGGACGGAGGCTATGTTCCACGCCCTAATCTCCATCTGGGCGTTCTGTACGGTCAAGTGCGGTGTTGTGGTCGTTCCATTTGACTAAACATTTAGAGCAGACAAGTAGTGTGACGTGTGGGAGGGTATTGTCAGGAAGCAAAGAAGTTCATAAATAAAGGTTTGCTCAACCATCCTTTTAGTACAGTAACGGATTCAAAATGGCTGCGTTCTGCAGGCAGAAAAGGAAAGTGCAGATTACATCAGGGCACCTTCCGAAAGTCTGATTTTTTGCTTCGGATCGAGGGTCAGCCCGCAAAATTTCGTCCAAACCTGGCACAAGGTACCCGAACCTAGTTACATCAACATGCCTGCAGAACAGGTCCATGTACAGATGACATCTACGTCAGGGAAACACCCCCCTCGCTTCCCTCCCTGGCAAATTTGACGCAAAGGTGACGCAATGCTGACGCTCGCTAAATCGTGGAGTTCACCTTGCGTGTGGCGTTACATCAGCCTCAATTTGGCTCCTCTCTCCTTTCGCTCGCGCTTTCCACAGTTTGGCGCGTTGCTTCCAAGAGAGGTTTGGAAAGTGCACCTGGTTTGAATGGTAACCAGTGCTCTAGAAGTCGCTTGAGGAGCTTCCTCAATGTCGACGTCGACGTCGACGTCAAATGCCTGTAGAACACAGCCAATGTTGGACACTGCAACGAAATTTCGTTGTCACTTCTGCTGGCGTTCGCTGAACCTCCGTCCACCCCACCGCCCGCGCAATCCCACTGGCGCGCAACCCCAATGGCAGAAGTGCTGGGCGTGTCAGTCAAGCCTGCGGCGGAAGCGGTAAAAGCGGGAGCTTCAGGCGCTGCTTCCGAACGCCGTCGAGTCACCTGACTGCAACCGTTGACCTGCGTCCTTCCAACCAATCCCAAGGTCCATCAGCCACTACGGCTGCATCTGACCAGATCGTTTCCTGCAGAACACCACCAGCCAGACCAGACCAGAGACCAGGGATGCTCAATTGCTATTGCTACAGAGTGTAATTCTCCTCGGGCTTCTTGCTTCCCCGACCAAGCCCAACACAGCTACATAAGGACAGAAGGAAAAGAGGATTCATTCAGCGGAAAGTAACAGCAGTCTTCCAAGTTCAACTTCCGCAGTATCTTCTACCTTCTTCCAAGCCCTTCGATTCGAGGTTTTCTTCGGTATCAGCTTCTAGTTTGGATAGCGTGAGCCAACTTAGGTTTTTATACTAAATCGCGCATTCGGTGTCGAGAGAGTCATGTCGATTGCTGGTTCTATTTGGATTCCATGGATCCCCGCCCGTGACGGCGAGCCTGACGAGACATGTCAGGGGTATGAGATCAACCAAGTGCCAGATTTGGAGCCAGCATCTCCACAGCGCACGAGATTTACAGTATTCACAAGACTTCCGTCCACTCCAGAGGACTTACACGCTCTCACGAACAAGAAGCTTGCTCGTTCAGCTTCACCTTTCAGGACTGAATCGCTCAAGCGAGTGAAACGCGATGCCAGAAGCGAGCCACGCGCGACCAACAGTACGTGCCAGCATTTCCGTCCAACAAATTTAAAGCTTCAAAGTATTCATCGTGATCTCTGGTCGTACTGATCCTCGTTCTGTTATGACTTTCAGGTGTTTTGGACAGTTTCACGCCTTATTCGACGCCACCAGCGTGTATAGAACGCAAGAGTCCCACATGTCCAGACGCACCCTACAAGGCACGGACACGGAGCATCTTCAACCTGAACCAGACATCGCCGACTGTCACGAGCATTCAGCATCCCCGGTGGTAACACCCACCTTACACCTGCAGATCTTCAACGCAGGAACCAGATTCAAATGGCATTCTTGACAGCAATTCCTCGGAGCTTACCATCTTGAACCACTGACATTCCTTTTTCCATTTCACCCTTTTCTCTTGGGGTCGGTGGAGGACGCGGCATGCTTCAAATGGTTGGCGTAAGTTGCAGCAGAAGCTGCTCACATATGTACAGTACCTGACATGGGTGGGGGACTCCAGTGATCACTGTGTCCACACTTATGTATTGCACCCATCCGTGTACTCTTATTCATACCACAACTGGAATTTACCATATTAACTCCTGGAATTTTATGTAATTGCTGGTAAAGATTCCTACAACCTATTAGTTAAGCGGCACCTAGCCTAAAACGAATTTGAGAAGAATGAAGGTTGGAGAGTGAGGAGAGGCAATTCTCCTCAGAAAGCGGTTCTCCGCTCATTCTCATCAAACCCCGCTTGCGAGAGCCTGAGAGTGGTCTCGTCGAGATTCACGGTAGCAGCAGCATCAGCTGCATAAGCAACATCGTTAGCCATGTCAGCTGCCTTTGAAAGAATCTCGTCAGCCACATCAGCTTCCCCAAGTGCCATTTCCGCCGCCTCAGCCGCCGTATCTTCCACCTGAGCAATTGAGATTTCCCCCTCTAGGTCGCCACTCACACCACGCAAATGGTTTTCACTGTTGCTGGTTTCTGTCATGCTGCTGCTCCTGGTGCTACTAGCAGCGTCGCTGTTGCTGCTGCTGTTGCTCCTGGTGCTACCATCAGTCTCGCCGCTACTGCTGGGTTTCTGAGGGAAGAGCGAGAACTGAGTGAACTTGCAGTCAGGAGCGAGGAGGGAGGAGGTGAGATAGTCTTCTGGTACTCCCTCGATGTCCCCGTTTGAAGATGACTCGGAGGGAGGAACAAACGGCATGGCCATTAGGTTTGACAGAATGGAGTAGTTTAGTGTTGGTTCGGATGTGGCATTGGCGCGGTAAAATTGACCCAGGAGCCCGTGCACGGTAGGGGAGTGCGCAACATCGAGGATCTCCAGGTTGATATGCGCCTCTGCGTCATCTGGTTCTTGTAACAGGGGGTGCACCCGGCGTACGCGAACCTCCGCTTCAATCACACCCGCTACCTTTAACGCGTACACATCAACGTCGTACGGGCCTTGCTTCTCGTACGCTGCTAGGAGAATCGTAGCCGCGCCGTCGAATAACGAGAGCTCATCTCCCAACTGCTCACAAAAGGGGATGCGGAGAAAAGGCGAAAGTGAGAAAATGAATACAGATGGTGTATTAGACCTTAAATTTCAATATTCATGTTGAATGACTAGAGCAGAGTTAGTTGTACTTGTAGAACGTGAGTCAAGTTCAACGAGGCAACAGATGTGCACTCACCACTAGCTTCGGCATCGCATGGCCGTCCACTTCAACAGTCGCCAGATACCCATCTCCTCTCTCCTGCTGCGCCGTTTTTCTAGCAGCCATTCGCACCACGTGCTGCGCTTGCCCCGGACCCCCTCTCCCCCACATTAGCGACAGCTCGCGAATCCACGCGCGAACAACAGCCGGTCGCCGAGTTCGCGAGTTACCAGCAGACGAGGAGGGGGTCGCGATGGTGGCGCCGCGGGTATCCATGTAACCCGAGAGTTTCATGTTGATGTGAAGCGACGAGTCGCTAATCAGGCAGAACGCGCGGTCCGTCAGCTTCTCGTGCGCCACTGGTCCCCCGGGAAGGACGCCGATTCCGGGGCGGGAAAGCGCGGATCCCACGGCGGCGTCGGCGGCGGCATCTCGGGCGCTTGCGGCAGCGGCGGTGGCGGCGAACTTGGCGCCAGAATTGCAACGACCACCGACACTGGATGGTTGGGCATTGGAGAGGGACGGGAGTGAGGGACGGGAGGAGGGACGGGAGGAGGGACGGGAGGAGGGACGGGAGGAGGGACGGGAGGAGGGACGGGAGGAGGGACGGGAGGAGGGACGGGAGGAGGGACGGGAGGAGGGACGGGAGGAGGGACGGAAGTGAGGGACGGGAGCGAGGGATAGGAAAGCGGGTTTAGGAGGGAGTTGAAGGCAAGAACAGCAAAAAAGGGCATTGCAGTCCAGAAATATGTTTTTAAGGCGCCTCAAAAGCAGTTCGGTGGTAGTTGAAGGCAAGAACAGCGGAAATGGGCATTACAGTCCAGAAATATCGGGCCCGGACCTAGCCGTGTCAGCAAAGTGAGTGGGGCTTGTAGGGGTTACTCACTATGCGTGATAGGAGTCTAGTTTTGAGGCGCCTCAAAACTAGACTCCTATCATGAGGCGCCTCAAAAATTGTAGGGGTTACTCACTATGCGTTGGGCAACCCGGGGACGAAGACATGCGCGTCCCCGCTACAAGCTTCTTCGGTAAAGAGGAGGCAGAGACCAGACGGCAGGAGGAGGTTCCAGTACGCGCAGTCGCCGTTCGCCCGGCACTGGTGACAGCAGTCTCCGGGGGTTGCTTTCGGGCCGAGATTCACGCCGTTAGGTGCGGCGGCGAGGCGAAACTGCTTCGTGCCTTGCACGGTGAATTTGCCCTTGTAGACGTAACGTCCGCATGTGTCTTGCGTGCAGGCTGATCGCTCGTTGGCGAAAGCGGGGCAGTTGTTAGCGAGGACGACGGGAAGAATGGTGAGGAGGCCGAGGAGGGTGAGAGCCGAGGCAGGATAAGAGATCCGTTGTTGTCGATCCATGGCGGAGTGCCTTGTGATTCTGCCAACAGACATGATTCCCTTGGATATCAGCTACTAGAACGAGGTGAAATTTGGATATCGGCTACTAGAGCGACGAAGGACGACCCAGACAGGAATACCCTGTTTCTTTTGGCCCGAAATTTTGGCCCGCTCCACTTCACAAAAAAATGCTTTGACGTGGTGAGCTCGAGTGGTATCTAAAGAATGTATTTTCAGTCTACCGCGCCAATGCTATGGGGATGGGGGGGTGCTTCAGCCAGCTCCATCAATTGCTTTTGCAGTAACAGTGCTCGCCAGCAGCCAGGCAGCAACTCAACTGGAGGATGCGCATCAATAGCCAAGCTGCCTAAATGCGAGCCAATTTTACTTTCTCGAAGCGCCGCCCCGCAATCCAATTTCAAGGTCGTGGGCGGCGCATCAGAGCAGAACCTTTGCACATTTGGCTCGAAAATTGCGAGATTGCGAGCCGCATGTCGGCCTGACATGTTGCGCGCCTCGGGAAGGGTTTTCCGCCAATTGGCTCGGCTGGGGAGGGGGGAAAATTTTGGTTTTGGGGAGTGCTGAGCTGAGGGCCAATTCCTGCGTCGTGTCATGCCATGTATGACACCCAAATTTGCCCATGAGCTAGGTTCGGCCGAGCCTAGATGACAGGCAAAATCGGGTGTCATCCGCGGGATGACACGACGCAGGAGTTTGCACTGATTGGATGATGGGCACGCGAAAAATGTCAGTGCTGGTGGCGACGAGAGATGAATGGCTGCTGAACCAACAGCTACTTCCCCGCGAGGAGCACGTCAGATTTGAGGTTTGGGCACCTGAAGTCTCAGGTGTGGGCCGAGCCAGAAGCTCTCATCATACGCGCTAAGGTGCTTTCATTTCCATCTAACGCACGGTAAAGAAATATTATTCCTACAGGCATTGTACAGAACAAGCTTTGTTCGGAAGCTGGCAAGACTGGCACGACCGGATGGACTTTCATTGGCCGTACAGTTGCGAACTTGGCACGGCACTGTACAACGGGAGTTGCCCGCTTCCCTGATCAACACGCAGCAGTTTCAATCAGGGAGGACTCTTGCTTCGTGTCTCCGACGATGTCAAACGCCAGTGTCGACGATTGAAAGTGCCAGCCTTGACTGAGAACGGTGAAATCTGTTTAGTCAAGTGATTTCGCGATTTTCGTGAAAGGTAACGGACGAAAATTCTGCCATAGTGGGAGTGGTTTCGTTCGGAGGATAACGAGTGTCGCGGCGCGTTCCTTTCGAGTTTGCGAATACCAGCCTAGTGATGGAAGCTTTCGTGAAGGGCAACAGTAGTTCGTAAGAAGGGAATCTATTTCGTGAACGTATTGTGGGGTCGCTTGAACGTTTTGGCGCCAACACGCGACCCAAATAATCGCACATCCGACGCCATGCCTGGCATTCCGTCAGCTTCGGAAGACACTCCGACGATCTCGGAAGACACTCGATTTGCCCCACGGCAAAATGACATCCGCTGATGACACGACGTAGGAGAATCTTCCTCAGGTCGAAATCCGCCCAGACGGACCGTCAGATGATCTCCGTGGCAGGTTGGAAAAACACAGAACGTTCCGCCGGAGGAACCTGGGCAATCCCCCTTTACCCCCGAAAAGCAACTCTCCCCCAGTCAGGTTGGAATTTTCCAGGCACCCCTGCCATTTTCCCGCCCACAGGGGGGACTTCCTCCGCTCAGACCCAACCCACCCAGCCTTCCCCCACCGCCAAACCTTCCTCCGTTTCCTTCCCCCGCCTTCCCCCCCCCCCCCCCCCCCCCCCACCTTTCCACCACCAGCCTTCCCCCCAACTTTCGCTGCGCTGCCCCCGCAAGAGTGTAGGGTCAGGCAAGATGAGCGAGGCTTGCTCTGCTTCAGGCTTGTGCTTTATCAGGAGGAGCATCAGCTGAGCTCAGTAGAGCTAGGGTTTCATTTTGAGAGTGTTCGCTAATTTTGTTGGGAGAATCAAGCTGACTGCTGGGCGAAGGGCGTTTTCCACTACTCCTGGGCCTGACAGGCCCAAGCGTTGGCGAATAAGGCTTACGTAACTAGTTACCTTCGTCGGCTTAGGTCGATATGGACCGTCGTGCTTAGCTGCTATCTCCTCTTTGTATTCGAGGAGGATGGCATCACGTGGGAAACAGAAGATGTCTTAACGGTTGTCTGTGGGGTGGTGCTGCTGTGTGCGCGCAGCGTGCTGTTGCAGCTGCTGTCCAGGAATCTCACCATGGCTGCAATGGCGGGTTTCACGGCGGGTTTCGCGGGTCTCTCGTGCTGCATCCAGCAGTTATCGGTGGAGGAAGGAGTGTCGTTGTCGTCGGAAGTGGCGTGTGGTCCCAAATTGTTCAAATCGTTCAAGTCGTTCAAGCTGAAGGGAGTTGCATCTTCTAACGCTCCTCGACTTAAAGCGTTCTCGTCGAGGGCTCCTCGCGTCCACCTCTCCCACCGCAAGGAGGGAGAGGCCGCCAAGATGGGTCTACGCGCGTCAGCGATGAGAAAGGGAGCGCGGGGGAGTGCACGTGTATCATACGGCAGTGACATCAATGAAGACGGGGGAATTAATGGATTTAATAAAAATAGGTGTTCCAGCAATGATTTCTGGACCAATATCTGTCAGGCAAGGGCGTTCTTATGCTCCTCGCTGAACAGCAGAGCTGCCTTTGAACCCTGTGGCCCTGTGCGGGCTTCTGAGGCGGTTTCGCTGGCCGGCGAAGTGCGAAACTTTGACAGCCAGGTTACCAGCGGCCTTGATTTCGCAGGCTCGGAGGAGTCGGCGAAGGGTGCGGTTGCCGCCCGGCAGCTCATGTGGCTGCCTGGGTGGCTTAACTTGTCGGCGGAGGAGCTCAAAGCGGTGTTCGCGACATTCGCGATGTCGCTGATTTTTCGCTTTGTCGCCGAGCTGCGGTTCATTCCTTCGCTCTCCATGTACCCCACGCTTGACGTGGGGGACCGAATCGTCGCAGAAAAGGTAAGCCAATGCGATATGGAGATTACCTTTCTTAATCTGTTTATCAATCTTTGGCCAAATGTGAGCCTCAATTTCACCGGTAGATGATTATGTCTTATCTCTTTCCTTACTGTCTCGTCGATCCCCCCTTCTGCCTGTTTGCAGGTTTCCTACTATTTCAGGAAGCCGGAGGTCGACGATGTCGTCATTTTCAAGGCTCCCAAGGCCCTGAAGGTACAACAGCTCTCCTGTGTGACTCCGCACGTCCATCTTTTCCTTTCTCTCCTCTTTTAATTGCTCATCGCTTCCTGGTTCTTGCTCTCTTGTTACCTGCGTTCGACTGAATCTGGTCTCTTTGTGCTAATTCATTACTTTGACAACTCGCAGAAGCATGGCTACAGTGAGGAAGAGGTGTTTGTGAAGCGAATTGTCGCTACTGAAGGAGACTTGGTGGAGGTGAAGTCTGGCAGGCTGTTTGTGAACGGAGTGGAGAAGGATGAGGATTACATTCTGGAGCAGCCTACTTACAACATGGAGACCCAGGTAATGTCCGGCAACTGCGGCACTTGGAGTTCTCAATTGTGGTTGTGTTTCTCCGTCAATGAGACGTAACTCGGTGGTCGTTTCTTCTGCTCTCATTCTGCTCACAGTTATTAAATTGTTCTTTCTATTCCCTAATTTGTCCACCCCCTTGCCTGATCACATGTTCCTGCAGTACATTCCATCTGGCCACGTCTTTGTTATGGGCGACAATCGCAACAACAGCTTTGATTCTCACACATGGTATGTCTGTTTGACCCTTCCGAGAATTTCATTACCGTAAATGCTTATGCCCTGGTAGCTGCAGCTTGGATTGGCAATTGTGAAGCATTTGGCTGACTGGTGTGGTACTGACATTTGTTTGGCAGGGGGCCGTTGGCTGTCAAGAATATTGTTGCTAGGTCTGTGTTTATTTACTGAATGGAAGTCTTTTATGCAATGAATGGTTTTATTTCTATGGTGTGTTCTGTAATTATTTGTGGTTGCCAACATTGGCAGTTTCTAGGTTGGTGATTCATTGTATAATTATCACCATGGGAGTGAATGGTAAATATGAATGGTTGTTGCCAGCGAGTTTCAAAAAGTAGGGATCTACAGCTCGTTAGAGGAGGGTAGCATAAGGTAACGTGGTGTCCAATGCAGTGGGTGGTTAGAATTGGTACATTTTTGTTATGCACTATACTCACTAGTATATTGCTTTCACTGAAAAGAGTAGCTCAAGTATAGCGACTGACATGAATATTCTTATAACGAGCATGATTGTCTGCGCTGTCCTCGGGGATGTGTGTCAGATGTGTGGTCTGCCTCGTCCCGTTATGATGGCCACGTCATCACAAACTCTCGTGGCGAAACGACGGTCTGGGTGGGGCAATCCCTTCGACCGAGGAGAAAGCCGACACTGCAGTGCCGCCAATTGGTCGTTTTTTCTCGGGTTCGCAAATCAGTTTTCGAAACGTTTTCATTGGCCCACGTCGTACTTCGCGAGCTCTCTTTGGAGAGTCGTAGGCGCCGCTAGCCTGCCCGTGCGACAAGTGATCCGAAACTTGTTGGTGTGTTGTGTCGCTCGCTTACATTTCCCCAAACCTTCTTGTCGCACACGTCGCTCGGGATTCTCGTTGTGAGTCGTGACTGCTGCCCCACCCCACCCCTCCACCTCATCTGGGGAGTTGATTCCACCTCGCCTCTGACAAGATATCACATCACACCCCATCTTCTTCCCCAATCACACCCCATCTCATATAACCGCATCGCATCCCTCCCAACCTCTTGAACAGCACCTGATATCACCTCGCCTTGCCATTATCCCAGAGACTCTTTTTACCCAGTCGAACGAAATCGTACGTCCTACAAACTCCCTACTCGTCTGGAACACTCCTCTCTTCGGGAAAGCTTTCTTCCCACCAACAGCTTATCCTCTTTCCCACCTCGGGATTCGGGAGAACTGCCTTGCCTGCTTACCTGCTTGCAGTGAGTAAGGCTTTCAAGCTGTCGAGTCATTTCGCGAGAAGCAGCAGGGTCGTTCTCGAGGCCGTCTGTGCTCCTCCTACCTGCAAGTACTCTTCCACGTATCAGTTCGAGCAACCTCTAGCTCCTTCTTCTGTGCGTGGTTCCTTAGCCTTCGCCTAGTTTGGCGCCAAGCATTGTCGGCTGCTGCATTGTCACTCCTGATAGAAGCACGAGATTTACAACATGGCGTCAGCACTCAGCCGCACACTCAGCGGTTGCTCAGCCCCTGCTGCTCAATCCTCTGCTGCCACGTCATTCTCTGCCACGTCAGCCTCATCTAACGGAAGATCCTACAGCTGTGCGTGCCATCAGCTCGCGCGTCGCACGAAATCGCACGGTGGCGTATCAGCTTCCACTTCCGCTACTCAACTCGGAATCTCCTCTCTTCTCCTAAGCGGCGCATCTCTCCCGGGCGTGCGTCAACCATCGTCCACAGTAACTCCTTCCGGCCACAGTAACACCTCGCGACGTCGTTACTCTTCGCGACGACACCTTCCGGTTACCACCACGGCGACCAGCTCTGAAACCGTAACTGTTACAGCTGTCGGCTCCTCCGTCAGCACCGCCGAAGATTCCTCCGATTCTTCTGCGGAAACTTCCGCTTCCCCGCTTTCCCCCGCACCTGCGCAACCCCCCCAGCCGCAGACCCCGCAGCTCTCCAAGCCCGTGCTCGTGCGCCCCGCGCCAGCGCAGCCGCCCGCAAGGCCCGCCGCGCCCGCCCCCGGCGCACGCGGCGGAGCGAAGTCCTGGGCTCCGCGACCGGGAGTCGCGGGGAGCCGGCCGAACGGGAGCGTCGCCGCGACCGGGAAGAGTGTTTTCCGTCCGAGGGACCGCGCCGCGCGCGCCCCGGACAGCGCGGGTGTGGCGGCAGTGCAGAATTTGAAGGAGATTCTGGAGAAGGCGGAGCGGATCGGCAATGGGGGGATGGCGGGGGGAGCGGACGGCGGGCCCGCACTGAATGGATCTTCCGCGGGAGCAGCGCAGGGGGAGGGGGAGGGGGAGGGCGGGTCGGGATCTGACGTGGAGGAAATCGTGCTTGTGCGCAAGGAAACGCCTAACGGGTCGGCTAGTAACGCAGCAGACGCCGCTGCGGCCACGAGCGCCGGCGCGGCTTCCCCCAGCGCAGACTCCGCGGATGCCGAGCCTCCGGCGGTGGCTCGGCCCAAGCCGGTCAGGGTCGACAGGCCGATGAGGCTGGACCGGCCTGTGGCGTCGTTCGACCGCTCCGCGCCTCCTGCGCGGCCCGCTCCGCCGCGCCCGGGGGTGTTCGTGCGCGGGCAAGAGCCCGCCGCTGGCGCAGGCGGAACGAGCGCAAAGGAGAAGCTGGCGTGGAAGCCCAAGGGCTCCGCCGATGCCTCGTCTTCCGACGATGAGCGGGCTTCCGCTGCTTCCGCGGGCGCGGCAGGCGGTCCGCGCAGGGGCCCCATTCTGCGCGACGCTGGGCGCAGGGCGCCACCCGCCGGGGAGAGTAGGGGTGGCGCAGGCGCGCCGGGCGGGGGACCTTCCCCCGGGGGACCCTCCTTGGGTCCGGACCGGGCCCCGTCGAGAGGCGGGCGGAAGGACACGCGGAGGAGAGGCGGGGACGGGGACCGCGAGGGCGGGGCGGGGCGGGGCAAGCGGGGGAGAGGGTCCGCGGTGGCGGAGCAGGCGCGGGGGAATAGGAAGCAGAGCAAGGCGTCGCGCAGGGCTGCGCGGGAGGAGGCGAAGAAGGCGGCTGCGCCTGTGAAGGCGGAGATTCTGGAGGTGGGGAAGGAGGGGATGAGCGTGCAGGAGCTGGCGCGCGAGCTGGCGGTGAACGACTCGGACGTGGTGAAGGCGCTCTTCATGAAGGTGCGACTTGGGCGGAAACTCTAGGGGTTTCGGGCGGTGGTGGGGGAAGGTTGGGAGAGAGGGGATGAGTGTCCAGGAGCTGGCGAGCTGGCGAGCTGGCAGTGAACGACTCGGACATGGTGAAGGCGCTGTTCTTAACGGTGAGACTTGTGGGATGGCTGGCTTGATGGGCGGAAGAAAGGCGTAAGTGCGGAAGGTGTGGAAGGAGGGGGGATGAGCGTGCAGGAGCTGGCGCGCGAGCTGGCTGGCGGAGATCGACTCGGACGTGGTGAAGGCTCTCTTTATGAAGGTGCGTGCTGTGCTGTGGGATGGGGGGATGGGGGGATGGGGGGATGGGGGGATGGGGGGATGGGGGGATGGGGGGATGGATGGGGGGATGGGGGGATGGGCGGAATTTGTCAAGCGGGGAAGGTTGGGAAGGAGGGGGGATGAGCGTGCAGGAGCTCGCGGGGGGAGCTGGCGGCGAACGACTCTGACGCGGTGAAGGGTCTCTTTATGAAGGTGCGTGCTGTGCTGTGGGTGGGATGCGGGGGAGGCGGGGGATATGCGGGGGAGGCGATCACGGGGTGCCGCGAACGACTCTGACGCGGTGAAGGTGATCACGGGCGCGTTGTGGGATGGCTTTTTCAGTTTCCTTGGCGGGATTTGGGGTTTTGGCTATTTGGCAATGGCCGTGCGTTTACTATTTGGGGTTTACTATTTATGCCTTCGTTCTGTGCACCTGGTGTTGCTGAGTTCAGGGTGGAGAGGCTGCCCTCTAAATCACATCCGTTATTGTCACATCATCACATTCCCGTTATTATCACATCCCACTACAGGGCATTGCGACTACAGTGATCAAGTTCTTAACGAGGACACAGTGCACATGGTGTGTGCCGAGTATGGGGTGGAGGACTGCAAGCACCTCCTTATAATAACATCTCGTTACTATCACGCCCTGTTATGATCACATCCCCGTTATATTCACAGGGCATTGCGACTGCAGTAAGTCAAGTGCTTGACGAGGACACAGTGCGCATGGTGTGTGCCGAGTACAGGGTGGAGGTGCTCCACCCCCCTATAATAACTTCTCGTTACTATCACGTTCTGTTATCATCACATCCCCATTATAATCACAGGGCATTGCGACTACAGTGAACCAAGTGCTTGACGAGGACACAGTGCGCATGGTGTGTGCCGAGTACGGGGTGGAGGTGCTCGATGCCAGCGAGGCGGAAATGGGAGAAGCTGCCAGGAAGCAGCGCGAATTCGTGCAGGAGGAGGACCTGGAGCACCTGGTGGTCCGCCCGCCCGTTGTGACTATAATGGGACATGTCGACCACGGCAAGGTGAGACTATAACGAGCTAAATCTCAGAAAACAGAGCGAGGCGGAGATGGGGGATGCTGCCAGGAAGCAGCGCGAGTTCGTTCAAGAGGAGGACTTGGAGCACTTGGTGGTGCGCCCGCCCGTTGTGACTATAATGGGACACGTGGACCATGGCAAGGTGAGACTATAACGAGGCTAAATCCCCTAGGGTTTTAGAAAAGAGAACAAGGAGAGGAGGGGGGACACGTGGACCATGGCAAGCTGAGAAAAGCAAATTCTGGGTGTGGCTATAATGGCCCCTAGTAAGTCAAGGCAGGATGAGACAGTAACGAGGTGTGAAGTACGGTACGGGGCTTTTAGAAACACCAGGAAAGTGGGGAGGAAGAACAGGAGGCAGGAGGAATCGTGCATAAGATAAAGGGTTTAGGGTCTTCCATGGCACAGGGCCTCCCTAGCTAGCAGTATCCATCCACCCATGGCCTCCTCCCCACGCCCTCCCTCCCATTCCTCCCATTCCTCCTCTCCCATTCCTCCTCTCCCATTCCTCCTCTCCCATTCCTCCTCTCCCATTCCTCCTCTCCCATTCCTCCTCTCCCATTCCTCCTCTCCCATTCCTCCTCTCCCATTCCTCCTCTCCCATTCCTCCTCTCCCATTCCTCCTCTCCCATTCCTCCTCTCCCCTTCTCGGTTCCCGCTCCCATAGTAGCGCCATTAACATGGGGTTCGTTTTGTTGCACTAGCCTACCGACTTGATGGAAACAAGGCCTCCGCAGCCCACCTGTAATCCATATACGACTCCTCTCCCCTTCTCCGCTCCTGCTCTCATAGCGCCGTTAACAGACCGCTCTCCAGGACTATGTCCAGGCGATCAAGGTCGCACTGGCAGCGGGAGATGCATAGGCATCTTTGAGGGCATGGGCATGGGTGCCCTACGCGGCGACCCTTTAGCACTCCCGTTTGCCCTTAACACTCCCCTTCCATTCTCCCTCTCACTCCCCCCACCCACAGACCTCTCTCCTGGATTACATTCGCAAGACCACGGTGGCGGCAGGAGAAGCAGGAGACACCACTAAGGGCATAGGCGCGTACCGCGTGTGGGTGCCCTACGCCGCTGGCACCAGCAGCATTGCCCTGCGTTTCTACCTTGGTGCCCAGTGGTATTATACAGGCCGCTAAACCATGCACCCCTATTTTTACCCGTTCCCTCTCCCCTTCTCCTATCACCCACCCTCAGACGTCTCTCCTGGATTACATTCGCAAGACCAAGGTGGCGGCAGGAGAAGCAGGAGGCATCACTCAGGGGATAGGCGCCTACCGCGTGTGGGTGCCCTACGCCGCTGGCACCAGCAGCGACGAGGAATCTGACGCTGACTCAGATGATGACGTGGAGGATGAGAACGAGGAGGGGCTGCACACGTGTGTGTTCTTGGACACGCCAGGTCACGAGGCGTTCAGTGCTATGAGGGCGAGGGGGGCTCGGGTGACGGATATCGCGGTGATTGTGGTGGCTGCTGACGATGGGGTCCGGCCGCAGACCACTGAAGCTATAGCCCACGCTCGTGCTGCCGGCGTGCCCATTGTGGTTGCCATTAACAAGGTACGATTATAAAGAGGACGTTTTCTTGAGAGTGCGGGGAGCGAGGGTGACGGATATCGCTCTGACTGTGGTGGCTGCTGACGATGGGGTCCGGCCGCAGACCACAGCGGCGATTGCTGATGATAGCGCTGCCGGGGTGCCCATTGTGGTTGCGATCAGCCAGGTGTGGCTAGCAGGAGAGGGAAGGGCGGAGGAAATGGAGGGAGACAGATATCGCTCTGACTGTGGTGGCTGCTGAGCTCCACCACCACAATCACTCCACCACAATCACTCCACCACAATCACTCCACCACAATCACTCCACCACAATCACTCCACCACAATCACTCCACCACAATCACTCCACCACAATCACTCCACCACAATCACTCCACCACAATCACTCCACCACAATCACTCCACCACAATCACTCCACCACAATCACTCCACCACAATCACTCCACCACAATCACTCCACCACAATCACTCCACCACAATCACTCCACCACAATCACTCCACCACAATCACTCCACCACAATCACTCCACCACAATCACTCCACCACAATCACTCCACCACAATCACTCCACCACAATCACTCCACCACAATCACTCCACCACAATCACTCCACCACAATCACTCCACCACAATCACTCCACCACAATCACTCCACCACAATCACTCCACCACAATCACTCCACCACAATCACTCCACCACAATCACTCCACCACAATCACTCCACCACAATCACTCCACCACAATCACTCCACCACAATCACTCCACCACAATCACTCCACCACAATCACTCCACCACAATCAGAGCGATATGTGTCTCCTCGTTAGGTCTCCTCTAAAGAGGAGAAATTACTCCTCTTTAGGGCTGGAGCCACATGCTAACGACACTCCTGTTGACAAGGAGGGGGTGCTTTCTCTCTTGCCCCTTCTCACACGCAGATGGACAAGGAGGCGGCGAACCTGGATCAAGTCATTTTCTAATATTCTAAAAAAATGCTCCTCTTTAGGGCTGGAGCCACAAGCTGACGACACTCCTGTTGATGCATTTTCTCTCTTGCCCCTTCTCACACGCAGATCGACAAGGAGGGGGCGAACCTGGACCGAGTGATGCAGGAGCTAGCAGCAGGTGGACTCATGTCGGAGGAGTGGGGAGGAGACACGCCCATGGTGCCGGTGAGTGTGACCATAAGGGGGTGTGGGACGCCCGTAGCCCAGGGGCAAATGAGCTGGCAGCGGGTGGGTGGACTCATGTCGGAGGAGTGGGGGAGAGACACTCCGATGGTGCCGGTGCCGGTGAGTGTGATTATACTGGGGTGACACCGTGACAATAACATGGTGATTGCGCGCCCAGGGGCAAATGAGGTGGCAGCAGGCGGACTCATGTCGGAGGAGTGGGGGGGAGACACGCCCGTGGTGCCGGTGCCGGTGAGTGTGAGTGTGATTATACTGGGGTGACACCGGGACAATAACATAGTCCAGAATGCCCTGCGCTTATAACATGGTGGTCGCGCGCCCAGGGGCAAATGAGGTGGCAGAATGAGGTGGCAGAATGAGGTGGCAGCAGGCGGACTCATGTCGGAGGAGTGGGGGGGAGACACGCCCATGGCGCTGGCGAGTGCGAGTGACTATGCCAAGGTGGTGTCGTGGAAGAGTTCTTTTTGTATTGGGTAATGTGATGTGACTCACGTCGGTGGGTGGGGATTTGTATTTGGGCGCCATCACTGTAGGTGGGTGCCGGAGGTCTCCATCCTGCATCGTTTGTCCACACCCAGTACCCGGTATTTTTGAGGCGCCTCAAAATGAGACGTTTTTTCAGGCGCCTAAAAAACCGTCTCCATCCTGCGTTGTTTGTCCACACCCAGTACCCAGTATCCAAGTGCAGCATGACTCACTTGAGGCGCCTAAAAAATAGATTGTATCCAAGTGCAGCATGACTCACTTGAGGCGCCTCAAAAATAAATAGTATCCAAGTGCAGCATGACTCACGTGGTTTCTGAACCCCCCCTGCTGCTCTGCCCTCCTTTCCGAACCCCACCTGCTGCTCTGCCCTCTCTTCTGAACCCCTGCTGATCTGCCTTCTTTCCCTCTTTCCCTCATTGAACCCTTTTGAACCCCTTTGCACCCCTTTCAGGTCAGCGCCAAGACAGGAGAGGGAGTGGACAGTCTGCTTGAAACGATCATGCTCGTTGCTGAGGTGAGTGATGTGAAGGACGGAGAGGGAATGGGGGGAAATGGGGAAGTGGGGGGGGGGGGGGGGGAAGGGGGTGGATATTTTGCTTGAGACGATTCCGTTGTCGGTTGAGATGAGTGGTGGGAAGATGAGAGGGGAGGATGGGAGGAGATGGGAGGAGATGGGAGAAGACTGGAGTGGAGGGCAGCGAGCGGGAGAGTGTAACAACCATAGGGAGAAAGTGCGTAGGGGGGCGGTGATACCACAGTAGTCTCTCCTCTCCTGTCCCTCTCGCCTCTCGCCGCTGTGCCTCCGATTGATGAGGTCAATCCAGTCTGATGGATTCAGAAGTCATTTCGGGAATGAGGGCGCGAACCAGACTCACAGGCAGCAGCAGGGACGGTGATATTTTGAGTCGACTCAAAATACAACTGGTCATTTCAGGAACTAACGGCGAACCAGACACACAGGCAGCAGGGACGGTGATAGAGGCGGCAGAGTAGACAAGCAGAGGGGACCGGTGGCCTTGGTGGCACCAAGTTTAGACAAGAGCTTAGACAAGAGTTCCGTGCCAATCCAGACACACAGGCAGCAGGGACGGTGATAGAGGCGAGTGTAGAGTAGACAAGCAGAGAGGGCCGGTGGCAGTGCTGCTGGTGGCACTGCTGGTGCTTCAACCCTCTCTACCTTGGCCCTTCTTCGTCCTCCTTCTCTTTCATCCTCTTTCAGATCCAAGAGCTCCGCGCTAACCCCGACACACAGGCAGCAGGGACGGTGATTGAAGCTAGTCTCGACAAGCAGAGGGGGCCGGTGGCAACACTGCTGGTGCAGAACGGCACCCTGAGGCTGGGAGACGTGGTGCTGTGTGGGGAGGCGTATGGCAAGGTGAGGATGGATTGGGATGGGAAGGGAGGACTGGGGTAGCTGCAGCGGATTTGCAATTGGTCTGGGTCCTTCTCTTGCAGTTGGTCGCCCTCACCTCTACTCCTTCCGCCCCCTCCACTCTCTCCACTCTCTCCACTCCCTCCAGGTCCTTCCACTTCCCTCTACCCTCCCCACTTCCCTCTACCCTCCCCACTTCCCTCTACCCTCCCCACTTCCCTCTACCCTCCCCACTTCCCCCTACCCACTACCCACCATGCCTCTCAGATCCGAGCTCTGCTGGTACCTCCTTCTCGTGCTTCGCCCTCACCTCTCCTCACGCCTCTCCGCACCTCCCTTTGCCTCTTCTCCTTCCCTCCACTCCCCACACACCCCACCATGTCGCTCAGATCCGAGCGCTGGTGGATGACACGGGCAGTCGCAGCCACTCTGCTGGGGCTGCTGGGGCAGTCGCCTTCACTCTACTCTGCTTCCTACCTCCTTTTTCCACACGCCCCCCTCCGCCCCTCAGATCCGAGCCCTGGTGGACGACACGGGTAGCCGCAGTGACTCTGCTGGTCCTTCCCTTGCTGTCGAGGTAAGCAATCGGTCTGCTAGTTGTTTCTACGTTTCCGGTGGTTTTTTTACATATCACAAATGATATCTCAAGTTGTCTCGGACAAAATGTCACACGCACTTTGGTCTAACGGGTTATTTCTATAAACAACTCTTTTATCCCCTACATGGATGGAGCTACACTCGTTTGTACCTTAAAGCTCCCTTGAAAATAAACTAGAATTACTCCTCTCCTCCCTCTTCCAGGTCCTGGGGCTCAGCTCAGTGCCGGTGGCAGGGGATCACTTCGAGGTGGTGGGCTCAGATCCATTTTCCCCTGCCTTGACCTCTCCCTATCCATTCACCCTCGCGCTCTCTCACTACACGGCAGGTCCTGGGCCTCATCTCAGTGCCGGTGGCTGGCGATCGCTTCAAGGTGCTGGACTCCCTCGACTGGGCACTCTCTTGGCTCAACCATTCCCCTAACCCCACGCTCTCTTCTCTCCCTGCCTGCCTGCCATTTCACCGCAGGTCCTGGGACTCAGCTCCGTGCCAGTGGCAGGGGATCACTTGGAGGTGCTGGACTCCCTCGACTGGGCTGTTCAAAGCCCCTCCTCCCTTCCCTCAGTGCCTCCCCCTCTCCCTCCCCGATTCTCCGACCCTTATCCCCAGGTCCTGGGGCTCAGCTCCGTGCCGGTGGCAGGGGATCACTTCGAGGTGGTCGACTCCCTCGACAGGGCGCGCTCCATGGCCGAGGAAGCTGCGGGGAAGCTGCGCACCGCCAGGCTGGCGGCCCTGCAGGGCGAGTCGAAGGTGTCGCTGTCTGCGCTGGCGGGGCGGGGGTCTACGGGTGATGGGTCGGACGGGAGCGACGAGGAGGGGTTAGAGTTCCACCAGCTCAACGTGATCCTCAAAGTCGACAACCAGGTGGGTTGAGAGAAGCACAGCGATTCTAGTTGTCCCTGTCTATTTTGGCTGGGCGGGGCTCGTCGTCTGATGGGTCGGACGGGAGCGAGGAGGAGGGGCTGGAGTTCCACCAGCTGAAGGTTGACAACCAGGTCAGTGGCAGAGGTGGTGAAGCCTTCAAGATCACGTTCAGCTGGTGCTGAACCAGGTGTTCTTGAAGGTCGACAAACAGGTCAGTGGCACAGGTGAATGTGCGGGGTTTGGACACAGGTTGAATGGAGGTGGGCATGAGAGCAGGGCGAGTCGAAGGTGTCGCTGTCTGCTCTGGTTAGAAGCTCTGGGTGGGTCTATGGGCGAGTCAAAGGTCTATGGGTGATGGGTCAGTCAGAGGGGAGAGACGAGGTCGAGGGGGGCTGGAGTTGCCCGAGGAATTCCACCAGCTGAACGTGGTCTTGAAGGCTTGCTGCCGATCACGTTCAGCTGAACGTGATCGAAAATGGGAAGGCTTGCTGCGGATCGAATCCAACTCCTTCCCACTTGAAGGTTGACAACCAGGTCAGTTTGGGGTTATCATGTTTGTTTGGTGTCATGTCGGGGAGGCATGCAGTGGAAGCGGCGGCTGCAGTGGAGGTGATTCGTGAGGCTCTGGCGGCTCTGCTGCTGATCAGGTTGCTGCTACTCACCCACCCCACCCACCCCACCCACCCCACCCACCCCACCCACCTCACCCACCTCACCCTTTCCGACCCCCTTTTATCTCCTCCCTCCAGGGTGCAGTGGAGGCCATTCGTGAGGCTCTGGCGGCTCTGCCACAAGACACGGTGTCGCTGCGATTCCTGCTGCAGGTGAGATTCGCTATAAGGTCTGCTGCAGGTGAGATTCGCTATAAGGTCTGCTGCAGGTGAGATTCGCTATAAGGTCTGCTGCAGGTGAGATTCGCTATAAGGTCTGCTGCAGGTGAGATTCGCTATAAGGTCTGCTGCAGGTGAGATTCGCTATAAGGTCTGCTGCAGGTGAGATTCGCTATAAGGTCTGCTGCAGGTGAGATTCGCTATAAGGTCTGCTGCAGGTGAGATTCGCTATAAGGTCTGCTGCAGGTGAGATTCGCTATAAGGTCTGCTGCAGGTGAGATTCGCTATAAGGTCTGCTGCAGGTGAGATTCGCTATAAGGTCTGCTGCAGGTGAGATTCGCTATAAGGTCTGCTGCAGGTGAGATTCGCTATAAGGTCTGCTGCAGGTGAGATTCGCTATAATTCTTCTGCAGGTGAGATTCGGTACTCTGAAACTCGTTATAGAGTTGCTATGGCAACTGCACACAGTGCAGCTGTATTGTACCAATGTCTGCCACAAGGCACACTGTGTCAACGCATTGTAAAGTGCATCCTCCCTCCACCCCACTCCCCCTCCCCCCTCTCCCCCCTCTCCCCCCCCAAACCCCCAACCCCCCTGCTTCCAATCTCCCCAGGCTGCTGGTGACGTTGCACTGAGCGACATTGACCTGGCAGTTGCCAGCGAGGCAGTGGTGCTGGCGTCTAACGTCAACATGCCGCCTGCTGTGGGGGCAGCAGCAAAGGAGAAGGAAGCATCATATAAGACGTGTCTTTTCCCTTCTCCCCCACTATCTCTCCCCTCCCCTCCTCCCTCCCCTCCGTCCCCTCCCCTCCCCTCCGCTCCCCTCCCCTCCCCTCCCCTCCCCTCCCCTCCCCTCCGTCCCCTCCCCTCCCCTCCGCTCCCCTCCCCTCCCCTCCCCTCCCCTCCCCTCCCCTCCGTCCCCTCCCCTCCCCTCCGCTCCCCTCTCCCCCCTTCCCGCCCCCTAAACTCCCCAACTCCCACCCCCCGTCCCCCAGGCTGCTGGTGACGTGGCACTGAGCGACATTGACCTGGCGGTTGCCAGCGAGGCAGTGGTGCTGGCCTTTAACGTGAACATGCCGCCCGCTGTGGAGGCAGCAGCAGAGGAGAAGGGCGTTGAAGTGCGGACGTACCGGGTGATCTACGATCTCATTGACGACGTCCGCAAGGCGATGGAGGGGCTGCTGGACTCTGTAGAGGTGAGTCGTGGACTCCTGCACAGTGGGGAGGTCAAAAGCACAGTTCTCTGGGCTCTGTTGAGGCACGTCTCGTGCTGTGGTTGCTGTAGTGAAGGGCGTGCAGGTGCAGACGTACTGGGTGATCTACGATCTCATTGACGACGTCCGCAAGGCGATGGAAGGGCTGCTGGACTCTGTAGAGGTGAGTCTTGGACTCTTGCACAGTGGGGAGGTCAAAAGCACAGTTCTCTGGGCTCTGTTGAGGCACATCTCGTGCTGAGGTTGCTGGGTGCTGTGCTGGGTGCTGGGGAGTGGTGGCTTCAAGTGCGGACTTGCCGGGTGATCTACGGTTCAATCGGATTGAAGGCCGATCGAAGGCGATGGAGGGGCTGCTGGACTCTGTAGAGGTACGTCTTGTCTTGTCCTGTGGGTGCTGTGGAGAAGGGGGTGGAGGTGAGTTTTGAGATGTCTCAAAACTAACCTACTTAACCAGGGCCTGCTGGACTCTGTAGAGGTATGTCTTGTGCTGTGTGTGCTGTAGAGAAGGAGTTGGAGGTGTGGACGTGCGCCGCTAGGCTCGGCGGAGGTTCGGGCGGTGTTTAGTTCAGGCAGCAGCAGGGTGGCGGAGGTGATGGTGACGGAAGGGAGGCTCGTGAAGAGGTGTGGGGTGGGCTTTAAGTGAAGTGTCTAAACCCAGTGACATCTCATGTTCAATCCCCTCTGTCCTCCCTCCTCCCTTCTGTCCTCCTCTTCCTCCCTCCTTCCCTCCCTTGTCTCTTCTTCCCCCTCTTTCCGACCCATCCCTCTTCGAAATTGCAGGAGCGCACGCCATTAGGCTCGGCGGAGGTTCGGGCGGTGTTTGGTGCGGGCAGCAGCAAGGTGGCGGGGGTGATGGTGACGGAAGGAAAGCTGGTGAAGGGGTGTGGGGTGGCGGTGATCCGAGGGAAGAAGGAGGTGCACTCCGGTACACTCACCTCGCTCCGACGAGTCAAGGAACTCGCCAAAGAGGTATGCTTATAAAGGGTTCAAAGCTGGTATGTCTAAAACGAGTATAAATCTATCTGTGAAGGTCGGGAAGCTCGTGAAGGGGTGTGGAGTGGCGGTCATTCGAGGGAAGGAGGAGGTCCACTCGGGTACACTCACGTCGCTCCGATGAGTCAAGGAACTCGCTAAGGAGGTGTGCTTATAAAGGGTACAGAGCTGTTTCTCTGGATAAGCTATCTGCTTAAGGGGTATGGTGGGTGCAGAGGGGTTGCGGGGTGAGGCGGGGGAGAAGGAGGGGAGGGCAAGGGGGGGGAGTGGATTCTAGGGCGACGTTTGTCTAGAGTCTAGTTTTGAGGCGTCGCAAAACTGCTGGGTGCAGAGGGGTTGCGTGCGGTTTGCCGTTGCCGGAGGAGGGGCGGTGGGGGGAGTGGATTCTAGGGCGACGTTTGTCTAGAGTCTATTTTTGAGGCGTCGCAAAACTGCTGGGTGCAGAGGGGTTGCGTGCGGTTTGCCGTTGCCGGAGGAGGGGCGGTGGGGGGAGTGGATTCTAGGGCGACGTTTGTCTAGAGTCTAGTTTTGAGGCGTCGCAAAACTGCTGGGTGCAGAGGGGTTGCGTGCGGTTTGTCGTTGCCGGAGGAGGGGCGGTGGGGGGAGTGGATTCTAGGGCGACGTTTGTCTAGAGTCTAGTTTTGAGGTGTCGCAAAACTGCTGGGTGCAGAGGGGGAGGCTGAGGCGCCTCAAAAGCACTCTCAGGGCATTGGCAGACGCGCATATTCCCTTCCTTACTCTTCCTTCATGCTCATCCGATCCCCAGCACCGGGTGGTGGCTTGGTGGGTTGCAGTTTGGCAGCAGGGCAACAGCATCGCGGCAGTTGGTGCATTGGGTTGCCCCAGACCTCATTAACTCACCCCATCAACTCACCCCCATGCTCACCCCCCTTCCCCCCCCCCCATCATCAGGTTGTGGCTGGGTCGGAGTGTGGAGTGGGGCTGCTGAAGGGCTTTGACGAGTGGCAGCAGGGCGACAGTTGTGTATCTTGAGTGTGGACTCCCCCCCCCCCACACTCAAAATACAACTGGAGTGTGGAGTGGGGCTGCTGAAGGGCTTTGACGAGTGGCAGCAGGGCGTGCTTTTGAGTCGACTCTAAAGCATCGCGGCAGTTGGTGCATTGGGTTCCCCCAAACCTCATCAACTCACCCCATCAACTCACCCCCATGCTCACCCCCCTACCCCCCCCCCCCCATCATCAGGAGGTTGTGGCTGGGTTGGAGTGTGGAGTGGGCCTGCTGAAGGGCTTCGATGAGTGGCAGCAGGGCGTGCTTTTGAGTCGACTCAAAAGTATCGCGGCAGTTGGTGCATTGGGTTCCCCCGAACCTCATCAACTCACCCCATGCTCACCCCCTTAATCAACCCCCGATGCTCACCCCAATGCCCACCCCCTTACTCACCTCATCAACAGGCTGCGAGTAATGAGACGACTTTGAGGCGCCTCAAGAGCAACCCCATCAACTCACCCCCTTACTCACCCCCATCAACAGGTTGTGGCTGGCTTGGAGTGCGGAGTGGGTCTGGAGGGCTTTGACGAGTGGCAGCAGGGCGACAGCATCGAGGCGTTTGAGGTGGTGCAGAAGGCCCGGTCGCTGGAAGATGCTTCCAAGGAGGTCACAAAAGCGGTGGCAGAGAAAACCGAGTCCATGGGGATAGCAGTCGGTGCAGCGTAACTCTGTAACTCCAGGGATGTGGGCTTTGGGGGGGAGGGGGGAGAGGGGGGAATGAGTGGCAGCAGGGCGACACCATAGAGGCATTTGAGGTGGTGCAGAAGTTCGGTCTCTGGAAGATGCATCCAAGGAAGTCACTAAGGCGGTGGCAGAGAAAACCGAGTCCATGGGGACAGCAGTCGGGACTGCGTAACTCTGTAATGGGAGGGCTTGTGCTTGTGCTTTCACAATTGGCAACAAAAAAACGGTTGATGGGAACAACAGTCCACACTGTTTAGCTAGCTTCCAATAGTTTTTGGTGTGCATAGTGAAATTGACATTTATGAGCACCGACAACCTTCCGTTGCTTTCATGCGGTCATAAACAGATTAGTTGTTTTGTTGAGTGGACAATATTTTGTTAACTGATCTGTTACGTTATGCAAGCAGGCTGCAGTGAAAAAACATCCTATTACTTCCCGTGAGCAGAAATCTGTAAAGAGGACATCATACAGTACATACTATATTAGAAGGGCTTGTCCTCCAGCGCGAATGTTTGATTGCGGTTGGGTGAGGTGCCACACAATTAGAAGGATTGATAAAGAATCTAAAACGGTCGGGCAGGGTTTTAACCACCCGCTGGACACGCCCTAATGCACACCCACACACAATATCACACAAGAGAACTCCTTGACAGAAGTCAGCTGCTTGAGAGCTGACAAGACATACATTGACCCCTTGTCCAGGCTCCTATTCTCTTGGCTTGAAATCTCAAGGTTACTCAACGGCGCGCCTCCACGGTCGGACGCTTCTTTACTCTCCTAAGGTTTCTCGCCGTCACTCGGCCGGTATCTCAGGCGGCCGTCGCGTCCCTCCCGTCGAAGACTTGGCGGCCAGCGAAACGCCTGGAGTCTCCCCACGGGCATGGCGGGGAACTGAACGCCTGAGGCCAAAAGCAAAGGAACTTGCATGCTGAGAATTGAGCACGCAAGGAGCTTCGATAAAATATCACACAAGAGAACTCCTTGACAGAAGTCAGCTGCTTGAGAGCTGACAAGACATACATTGACCCCTTGTCCAGGCTCCTATTCTCTTGGCTTGAAATCTCAAGGTTACTCAACGGCGCGCCTCCACGGTCGGACGCTTCTTTACTCTCCTAAGGTTTCTCGCCGTCACTCGGCCGGTATCTCAGGCGGCCGTCGCGTCCCTCCCGTCTAAGACTTGGCGGCCAGCGAAACGCCTGGAGTCTCCCCACGGGCATGGCGGGGAACTGAACGCCTGAGGCCAAAAGCAAAGGAACTTGCATGCTGAGAATTGAGCACGCAAGGAGCTTCGATAAAATATCCCTCGTATGTCGATCCGTGCTAGGCCACTGAAAACCGAGAACCAATGAAACCAGTCCCGCATGAATTCAGCCGGATCGGATCAGTCTGCATCACTCGATTCATGCTTCGCCGAGTCAGCGAAAATTAGGAGCTTGGACAGAAACCATCAAACACGGGGGTATAGTATGTGTCGGAAGCTGATTTCATGGGAAATATGCAGCTGGAGGCCAAGTGTCAGAAGCTTTGGTAGTACTCGGCTGGAAGGCACTCAGTGATCACATCGGAAGTATGCAGCTCGAAGCCAATTGTCGGAGGCTTTTCAGATCACATCAGAAGTATGCGGCTGGAAGGTAGCGATCACATCAGAAGTATGCGGCTGGAAGGTAGCGATCACATCAGAAGTATGCGGCTGGAAGCTGCGTCGAAATTAAGCTTCCGCGACACGATCCGGCACTTCTTGGTCTTCGACATGGTAGCAGCGAGATCCAACCTATCGCCCGGTCTCCGTTTCTTCGGAGCTCCCGGCGGGTAGACTTTTGCTGTCGTGGCCGCTTCAGGAGCCGCAGCGGACGCTGGCGGCGAATCATGCAATCCTGGAGGCGCCGGATGCGACCCCGCAGGCGACGGATGCGGTCTCGCAGGCGACGGATGCGACCCTTCATGCGACGTCGCCATCCTCGCGATCGGCGCGACATCGCAGGACGAACGCAGCACTTCCAAGCCGTTAAAATTGAACCCGAAATTCAGCTCTCGGACTGCCTTCCGGAACTTAACGACATCTGCAATAGCAGCGAGGCGCGATCCGTCGTCCATCCTCCGCTTAATCGGTGCTCCCGGGCACGAACTCGCCGACGCGTCCGCTTCGGGCGGCGCGGGAGATCCGGGCGACGAAGGCGATCCTTCAGGCGACGTCGCCGCCGCGGCGTTTGTGGAGTCGCCGGCTTCGTGCGACGATTGAAGCCGCGTGTAGAAGATCTCGCTTTCGGAGAGCGTTTTGCGATGAAAAACTTCTTCGCCGCCGGTCTTCTCGATTGCCCGAACCATGCAGTGTGCTTCTGACGACGGCGGTTCCGTCCTCAAATCTGTCACCGCCGCCGGCGGCGCCACTTCGACTGAAATTTGGACCGACGAAAGCGCTTCTTGGAGCAAGTGGCTCTTGATCTTTCCCAAGCAAGTGACTGAAGGTTCCCCCTTGGACAATGACATCTTCTCTTCGTGAGATCTCCTTGAACAGAGAGACGAACTCGAGGAAAACTTGAAATCCTTAATCGGCTCCAGAACTTCTTGACAAAGTAGTGCTGACAAATCGTCAGCGACGCTCACGCCGGCGTTAGCTTGAGATGTGGAATGTACTAGTAGTCGATCGTGAAGATTGTCAGCTGGTGGTATGAAGAACGGAGGTGATACTGATTTGCTGCACACGACTTGGAGCGCCATTGTATCAGGCTTAGTTGCCGGCGGCCACGGAATACGTAGCGGAAAGCAATCAATTTGCAACACGAAGGCAGCAAAGCTTCGACTATATATTTCCCGCTCTCTGTAATATAGAAGGGTCGTCCGCGAGGCGAGATTGGAGCGTCTGAGATCTAATTGCACGGATCTGCAAAAGCGAAGCGAAATTGTGCCCAACTACATCAGAACACATGGCTTCTTATGTCCAAGGCTGAAATCAATGACAGAGCCGCGGATTCTATGGCGGTGTGCGGTCAGTTGGCAGTGGATGTTGGGTTGTAGGGTGGGATGGGAGGCGTGAGAGCGGCGAGGAGGGGCGAGGAGGATGTGGTACAGAACCGAACAAGTTGAAGGATGTAGTTCGAACTCCCCTCAAAGAGGTAGAAAGCGGTTTTGTATGTTTTACAACGTTTAGAGCAGTTTCAGTAAGGTGACGGGTGAATCTTGGGCCCTTCTGCCTGGAGGTTTCCAACATGGCCCGCGTCAGGGGGAGGGGGGCAGGAGGGCCAGCGAGAGATGCGTGAGAAACAGGAGGAGAGGGGAGGGGGGAGGGAAGGGGCGGCCAAACCACACCACAACGCACTAAAAAACATCAAACCACACTGCATTACACCACACCACACCAGGCTCCGTCCAGGCCCTGGACTCCAGGGTGATGATGGCTCACGCTCCTCCTCGACTCCTGACGGGCCGTCACGTCAATTCTGAAGGGCAGGGCTCTCGCTAAGCCTAGGCCCTAGGGTATTCCGTTAGGTTACGGAATCGGCCCCGAAAATACCCGTTAGCATACGGATTCGTCGAAGAGCTACCTTGGTTTGATACTAAAATCCTTAAAGGCAAATGGCCTTGGCCAGGGCTAAGGCAAAGCTATCGAAACCCCAGGGACCGTTTTTCACGGATACTACGCCTCAGGTAGTTGGAAGAGTAGAAAAACTCCAGGCAACTAGCCTCGCGCTTTGCTTACTGGAGGAAGCTGGGAAAAGTAGAGGGGAGGGTGGGGGAGTGACATACCACTACGAAGAGATCTCCTACTGCATTGCACTTCGTACGGAATCAAAGAAAAGTAACCCACAATATCAAGGAATCACACGAAAAGTAATCCGTTAGTCAGACGGTATCAGGTCGTAAACAGCTCTTAATTTCGATACACTAAGGAAACCTACCTTGTTAGCCTGAGCCCTGCTGTAGGGGCACCCGGTACAATTTACAGCCCAGGCAAATGATGACAGCACAGTATCGTGCTGGTAATGCTAGGAAAGGACGATCAAGGAGTAGGAGATCAGGCAAATGCATTCAGAACCAGACAATGAGATTCTTTTCCGAGGGATGCAAGAAACCCGGAAGGGAGTAGCACCCATGAGCCACTCGCAAAAAAAGCTAGTACAACCCAGACAGGAAACGTTCACTGTAGAAAGCTGATAAAAGAGCTAAGCAAAGGTGCAATTACCGTACAGTACACCGCATAGGGTGTCATCTTGGCGCAGAACATTGCATATCGGGCGGACCTGTTTGAAAAAGGCAAAGGTGAAATACAGAGCCCCTGACCCAGGGTGAAGTGGAAAAATATGTGGAACCAGAGAGTGAGGGAGGGATGCCCTTGCCAACGTGGATTCTTGCCCCAGGTGCGCATCATGGTCCGAAGCTGATGTGGCTGTCGGTTTTTTTAGGGACTGGCTTGCACATCACGTCGTCACTTCGTGTGACGTGTGTTGGGAACGGGACTAGATGAGCGGGGTCATGAGGATGTCAGAAAACTGGATGGGATAGGGTAGAGGGTACTCGTGGGATGGACAACACATCTTCCAGAATCCTGTGATCCTATCCCACGTCGGTGAGGTTGAGGGATTCCGATTGGTCAGCTGGCATGGCAGCAGCAGATGGGCCTTCCTGGGAACAAGAGGGATGGAGGAGAGCCACATTTTGGGCAGAAGATATATTTCCCGTTAGCCCTGGTTGAGGGGAGTCATTGTGGCGGCTGCCCACCTTGACCTCCAGCTCAGCTGCCTGGCCATCAACGAATGCGGGAGAGTTTCAGAGAGGGTTCGATCGAAGTACAAACCGGATTAAGGGATGTCGCAACGCGTTGTCAATCGGTTTTACAGCGTCCTTTCGGGTGTCTGTTTGTTTCGACGTGATTAGATGCGGTAGAATGGTATCGACACTGTAAAAGATCCAGCCTCGGCTACTTTGAGGCTCTCGGTGATTGCGCCCACATTCGGCCCTGGTTTTGACAAGCTGGTGACATGCTTGACAAACGCGGACATATCTACAGCTGTAATGGACCCAGTTCTGACAAGGGCGAGAAGTCACGAGCAAGTGGAAAGGGGTTCTGCTTGGGGTTTAAAATCCGCGGCCACGGGTTTTAAAGAAATTGGTCAGTTTCTAGGGGGCTGGTCCCCTATGTACTGACGTCGGTTGTTTCCACTTTGGCACAACGGCATTGTCCCACGAGATCTGAAACTCATGCAAATCAGACCCACACATTCCGTCCCGCCCTCCCCTGCCGCCGACCCCCGAAGAGCCAGGAAGCCACACAAGAAATCTAAAAAATCTTCCTGCCTTACCTGATCGTCGTCCAATCAGGTTCCCTCATTCTCAACTGGCAGACCAGTTGAGACAAACTCTACATTACAGTATAGATTTTGGAAGCAGTACTGACTCGTCACGTGCAGTACTGCCTCGTCACTGGAGGGACCTATCCAGCCACACAGCCCCACACAAAGAAGCAAACAAAATCACGCCTGCAATGCTGTCATTCGTTGAGAATCCCGTGAGGTGCGGCTATCTCCGTGCGAATCGAATATCCTCTTTTCAGACTGATACGGTATTTCACACGTAAACCGCATTTGAACGAGTAGAATGCTACTTCGGTAAACAGTTTCAGTGTTCATCACTCGACAAACAGATGATTTTTTATTTGGGAATACTTTACGTAGTTCGCTCTAACTGCGCCTGGAGCTCGGGAAAAATATCGCGCCAGCCGCAATGATGACGAAATTGGGCTGGCGCGAGCGGGAAAACGTTCCTCGACGGCCAGGGTTACTTCTACTGACCATTCGTGGAACTTTTTTCCTGCAGTTTCTGACTAAAGATGGAACCCGACTGATTAAACATGTTACAAACTCGCTAATTCTGATTGTTTATATCGTGTCACTTACCGTACATGTTATCGAGGCCCCTAATACTCAAGCGCCTGTATACTTTCCCTTTACCAATTTACATAGTTGGCTGCTGAGCCATGTAGCAGCATTCACCATCCCTTTCCGCGCTTCTCGTCACCACATAATATAGCATTTGCGCACACCCAGAAAACCATATGTTTCCCGCCAAAAGCTTGCACGCATACTCTGGGCCCATCGTTCTGTCTTGCGGGATACTTCACGACGGAGTACAGTACACCTCTAGCAGAGGCGGAGCCGCTTAGTAACCTCCTCCTCGTAGTCTTTTCGCGAATCCGCCGCCCCGGCGTGTAAGCTGCTGGGAATCTGGGAGCCGCCTGTCCGGCGGCTCGTCTGTCATGTTTCAGGCTCAGGATTCTCGAGAGTTCTCAAAAATCGCTTGTTCGCGTCTCGGCGTCGTTTCCCGCCACATTGCTCCTCAGGCTTCTCAGCCTTGCGGAAAATCTCGAGCTGACTCGCTCGTTCCTGACCGTGAAGGATTCTATATCGAGGACAGCGATAAAGGCGATGAGGTCGATTTTCCCCCATTCGTCTCCCGTTCCCATGCTTCCGCACAATACGGCGCGCGATCCGCTCGATCTCCGCTCAGTCGAATTTCGGGCCCCGCCGCTTCCGCCGCCTCCGTCGCTGGTCCCATCGCCGGCAAATCAACAGATGCCACGTCGACAGCACCGCTGCACTGGATTTTCGCGTCCGGGCTCAAAGCAGATTCGCGAGATTCAAATCATCCGTCATCAACTTCCGGACCAGAACCCCCTTCTGCCGAACCTGTAGCTTTGGTAATAGGCGCGGGAGACGCCATAGGCTCGGCAGTGGCTCGGCGGTTCGCCAGGGAAGGGTATGTGGCGGTGGTGGTGCGGCGAAACGGGTCCAAGCTGCAAGTTCTGGTGGACGGAATAGCAGCGGATGGGGGCAAGGCGGTTGGGTTTGGCGTTGATGCGAGGAGAGAAGGTGAGGTGAGGGGGAGGGTGAGTGCTGATGGGAGGGGCGAAGGTTTGGGATGAGACAGGGGGTGCAGGGAATTGGTCCAAGCTTTGAGCGCTGGTGGTTGAAATAGCAGCGGATGGCGGAAAGGCGGTGGGTTTTGGCGTTGATGCGAGGAGAGAAGGTGGGGAGAGGGGGAGAGGTGACTCAATTGTTCACTGCAGGGGAAGATGAGATAGGCCGGACTGACTCATGTTATGGTTTTCAACATCGGAGCAAATGTAAAGTTCAGTGTTGTTCTCACAATACCATCTTCCCACCCCGTTTTCTCTGGCTGCAGTCCAGGTGGCTCAGTTGTTTTGTTACAGTGGAGGAGGAGATAGATAGGCCCAATGGGATGGTTTTCAACATCGGAGCAATTGTCATGGACACACCTTCAGCTCTCGTTACACCCTTTCTCCCCTTCCTCCCTTCCTGCCTCCAGACCAGGTGGCTCAGCTGGTTGCTACAGTGGAGGAGGAGATAGATAGGCCCGATGGGATGGTTTTCAACATCGGAGCAATTGTCATTGACACAGCTTTCAGCTTTCGTTACCCCCTTTCTCCCCTTCCTCCCTTCCTGCCTCCAGACCAGGTGGCTCAGCTGGTTGCTACAGTGGAGGCGGAGATAGGCCCGATCCATGTCATGGTTTTCAACATCGGAGCGAATGTTAAGTTCAACGTTGTTGACACGAACTCAAGGGTTTACTTCAAGGTGTGTTGCCTGTTGGTGGGGAGGGAGAAAGAGATAGACAATTAGGAATCCATGTGCTGGTTTTCAACATCGGAGCGAATGTCAAGTTCAACATGGTTGACACGACCTCGAGGATTAACCTTAAGGTGTGTTCCCTGTTGGTGGGTAGAGAGACAGATAGCTCCGATCCATGTGATGATTTTTTAGGCTCCTCAAAACTGATACTATTTTTTGAGGCGCCTCAAAACTGAGACTATTTTTGAGGCGCCTCAAAACTAAGGGTAGAGAGACAGATAGCTCCCATGCATATGATGGTTTTCCAAGATCTGGGCTACTCTGAAGGCCCGACGCTGTTGACGCAACTTCAGGGGTTTATTGCAGGGTGTGTTGCCTGCTTGTGTGCCCTGTATTGCTGTCCATTGCTGTTGGCTGCACGGGTGTTTAGCACCCTGCTGGCCTTGGGTGACTCTGGCGCCTGGCTATCCAATTTGGAGGGTTTACTTACCGAACTGAATTCCTCTGAACTGTCCTGTTCCAAACCTCCAGGTCTGGGAGATGGCATGCCTGGCAGGCTTCCTCGCATCTCGTGAGGCGGCTCAGAGGATGCTTGTCAGAAACAGCGGCACGATTATTTTCACTGGTGCGACTGCAAGCGTCCGGGGCGCTGCTGGCTTTTCTGCTTTCTCGGGAGCTAAGCATGCACTAAGAGCCTTGGCTCAATGCTTAGCTAAAGAATTAGGGCCTCAGGGGATACATGTCAGCCATGTGGTAATTGATGGGGCAGTTGACACGCCATGGATCAGGGAAAGTTTTCCGGATATGGTTTGGGAGAAGGACAAGGTGGATGGGTTGGTGCAACCTGATGATGTGGCGGATTTGTATTGGTCATTGCATATGCAAAAGAGGAGCGGATGGACGTTTGAGGTGGACCTGAGGCCGTGGAAGGAGAAATGGTGAGGTATCCGTTGTGTTGTATGTGTATAAAGCCGATACATAGTTTGCCTCTGGTTGGGAGGGGTGGTTGTGTCAGCGAGATGTGCGTTTGCAAAACTCACTCCATGCATTAGACGTTGAGTGTTGAACATAGCGTTATGCCCCTATATCCCACAAATGCTCACAGCGAATAGCTCACTTGCGGGTCCTTAATCGCCCCCATGGGAAGGTCTATTGGGGAGTGCAGGTCCAAACGGGTCAAGGTAGAGCCTTCTAATCTCACCGCACCTGGCCAAACTGGTTCGGTATACCTGCGCTTCGACGAATCCGGCGGCGGCGCTTTGCTCCTCGTCGGGCAGTTTCGTTCCGTTGCAGCGGGGTAAGTACACAAAAATTGCGAAACCTAGCTTTAGCTTTTAATTATCATTCCCTGGCGGGTTCGTTTACGCTTTTTCCAAGCATAGTCTCTTGTTGATACAGTTCCATTTCTAAACTTCCTTTTCTTCGGATCTCCCCTGCCCCCCCCAAACCAAAACCGATGTCTGACCTACCGCTGCCCTTCCCAACCAAGTTTGTTCCTTATCTCCTCCGTCCATCCACTACCGACTTGGTCTATACGGCCATCCACGCCGTCCATTACTTGACATGTGAATGGCTCAGGTGCGTGCATTTCGCAAGGGAAATTCAACCCCCTTGCTTGACAGGAAATTCGCCCCTTCCCTTCCCTTCCCTCCCTCCCCTCTCCGTAAATATTTCTACCTCCTCACTCCTGTGCTAGCCCTACTGGTTTCTGTAGGATGCTAAAGCGTGCAAGTGCATACACTGTATGGCAGTGCAGACACAGCAACTACTGAATTGAAAGCGTGAGTCAGTTGAGTAAGGTACAACCAGCTCAGGTTCCGCCAGCGCTCTGCGGCGAAAAGGCCAGTTTCTTGTATGTCGTGAATCGCCAATCGGGTGTCTCTTCGCCTGTCAAAGGTCTCGCATTTTGGTCTCACGTTTTGGTTTCCGAGCTGTGTACTCTTTAGTTGCAATCTCTACTAATTCGCTACGACTTCGCAGTTGCTGAACCAGCTATCCGTTCGTCACTTATGGCGCGTCACCATGCTTCTCCCTCGCGGCTCGGCGTCGTCTTCTTGGCGCTCTTCGCGGCGCTGTTTGCGGCGCTTCTTGCGGAGCCGTGCTCCGCGGACGGCAGCGACTCCCCTCTGTACGACGGAAAGACCGGCGCGAAGAAGCTTATAGCGGGGATGAAGAAGAAGGGCTACAACACGGCGCTCTCCCTCTTCGAATCCACAGGTATACCTCGTACGAGTTGAATGCTATACTCGTTTTAAGACCCCTTGTTAGGAGGCTCCGCGTAGAAGCTTACAGGGGGATGAAGCAGAGAGGCTACAGCCGGCGCTCTCCCTCTTCAAATCCACAGGTAGCGTGCGTTCTCGTTACAGGCTGGATTCGTTATAACACCTCCTTGTTGGAAGCCTCCGCGTGAATGCTCTTAGCGGGGATGAAGAAGAAAGGCTTAATCACGGTGTTCTCACTCTTGGAATCCACAGGTACCCCTGCTGCGTCCTCGTTCTCCTTATACCTCATAACGAAGCTGCATTTTCATATCATACAGTGTGTCCCCCCTCCCCTCCACCGGGGTGAATTTTGAGTCGACTCAAAAGTCATTTTCATAACAAACAGTGTGTCCCCCCTCCCCTCCACCGGTCTGGCTGCTACGAAGAGCCTCCCAACGCCCTCAGCTACCACCGCCTCACCATCCTCGAGCCTACAGACGCGCCTAGCGTTGCGGAATGTGAATCCCCTCTGATTGTTGCGCTTCCATTCCTCCCCTCCTCCTCCCTCCCCTCCCCCCCAGGTACAGCCAAGGAGCTTCCCACCGCCCTCAGTTACTACCGCCTCACCATCCTCGCACCAACCGACGAGGCGTTCGCCAAGCATCCCTCCTCCCCCTTCCTCCCCTCCGCGCTTCCCCGCATTTTCGAGGGTAAAACGATGGTAAAAGCCTAAAAAATACCTTAAAAATACTCCCCCTTGCTCCCCTCCACATTTCCCTGCATTTCCGTCAGGTATATCCAAGGAGCTTCCCACCGCCCTCAGCTTCTACCGCCTCACCATCCTCGCGCCTACGGACGAGGCCTCAGCAGGCAACTTACATGCGCGCACTGTGCGTCCCTACCTCCCCCCCCACCCCCAACCTCCCCTCCCCCACCCCTAGCGCACCAAACAGGTATTGCCAAGGAGCTTCCTGCCGCCCTAAATTACTACCGCCTCACCTCGCGCCTACAGACGAGGCCTGAGCAGGGAGCTTACATGCGCGCACTGTGTGTCCCTACCTCCCCCCCCCCCCCCGACCCCCCTCCCCCACCCCTACCGCACCTAACAGGTACAGCAAAGGAGCTCCCCACCGCCCTCAGCTGCTACCGCCTCACCATCCTCGCGCCTACAGATGCCGCGGATTGAACAAGCTCATATCATTGCGCAATAGCCCCTGCCCCCTCCTCCTCTCCCTCTGCTACGCAGGTATAGCCAAGGAGCTTCCCACCGCCCTCAGCTACTACCGCCTCACCATCCTCGCGCCTACGGACGAGGCGTTCGCCAAGCTTCCCGCGAGCGCGACCAAGGGCCTGAGCAAGGCGGCGCTGAGGGATCTGGCGATGCTGCATATCGTGAAGGGGAGGAGGGATGCCGCCACCCTCGTTCGCATGCAGAGGGAGCACGAGGTGAGGGTGTTTGCTTGATAGTGCCGGACATTAGCTATCAAGGGCCTAAGCAAGGCGGCGCTGAGGGATCTGGTGATGCTGCACATGGTCAAAGGGAGGAGGGATGCAGCTACTCTCGTTCGCATGCAGACACTAGACGGAACACGAGGTGAGGTGTTTTGCTTGTAAGTGCCGGACATTAGCCTCCCTGAGCAAGGCGGCGCTGCGGGACATGGCGCTGCTGCACATCGTATAAGGGAGGAGGGATGCTGCTACTCTCGTTCGCATGCAGACACAACACGAGGTACAAGATTTTATACTCAATATAAGCTTCCCCCCTTCACTGCTGGTTGACTAAGTAAGGCAACAGTGAGGGATCTGGTGCTGTTGCACATAATCAAAGGCAGGAAAGACGCCGCTACCCTCGTTCGTCTGCAGAGGGAGCATGAGTTGTGGTAGTCTGTACTCGTTATAAGCTTTTCCCGGTTAAAGGTATGGCTGACTGCTAGATTCCCTTGAGCGTGACAAAGGGACTGACTGAGCAATGCCGCGCCTTTCCCGTCTCCCCTTGACATCCGCCTTCCTTCTCCTTGCTCCTGAGGACCAGTCGAGTCAGTCAAGACAGTCGAGCCAGTCGAGCCAGTCGAGCCAGTCGAGCCTGTCGAGCCAGTCGAGCCAGTCGAGCCTGTCGAGCCAGTCGAGCCAGCTGAGCCAGTCGAGCCAGTCGAGCATGTCGAGCCAGCTGAGCCAGTCGAGCCAGTCGAGCCAGTCGAGCCAGTCGAGCCAGTCGAGCCAGCCGAGCCAGCCGAGCCAGTCGAGCCAGTCGAGCCAGTCGAGCCAGTCGAGCCAGTCGAGCCTGTCGAGCCAGTCGAGCCAGTCGAGCCAGTCGAGCCAGTCAAGCCAGTCGAGCCTGTCGAGCCAGTCGAGCCAGTCGAGCCAGTCGAGCCTGTCGAGCCTGTCGAGCTGGTCGAGCCGGTCGAGCCGGTCGAGCCGGTCGAGCCGGTCGAGCCGGTCGAGCCTGTCGAGCCTGTCGAGCCAGTCGAGCCAGTCGAGCCTGTCGAGCCAGTCGAGCCAGTCGAGCCAGTCGAGCCTGTCGAGCCAGTCGAGCCAGTCGAGCCAGTCGAGCCAGTCGAGCCAGTCGAGCCAGTCGAGCCTGTCAAGCCAGTCGAGCCAGTCGAGCCAGTCTGTCGATCTGTATGCAGATGGTGGCTTCGGGGTGCTTACTCACTGTTTCCGTCTCTCCCTTTCCCCTCGCAGTGGCGCACTCCCTCTTAGAGTGGGGAGGCGGGTCCCTTCAAAACCACAGAGATGAGAGTCAAGGCAGTTAGGCTGCAAGCAGAGGGCCTCCAACATCCAGCTCTCCTAAACCCGAAACCCCTTCTCTTCTCTTCCCTTCGCCTTCTCCTCCCTTCCCTTCGCCTTCTCATCCCTTCCCTTCCCCTTCTCCTCCCTTCCCTTCCCCTTCTCCTCCCTTCCCTTCCCCTTCTCCTCCCTTCCCTTCGCCTTCTTCTTCCCTCCCATTCTCACCTTTGCTTCCCGGTGGCGCACCCCCTCCAAGAATGAGGAGGCGGGTCTCTTAAAGACCACAGAGATGAAAGTCAACCAAGTCAAGCTACAAGCAGGGGGGCTCTATAAGGTGTTTGCTTGCTCACACAGTCTCTTCCTTCCCCCTCCGCTCTTACCCCCCCTCTCCCCCCCCTCTTCCCCCCCCCTCCCTCCCAGCGGCGCACTCCCTCCAAGAACGGAGAGGCGGGTCTCTTAAAATCCACAGAGTCGAAAGTCAAGCCGGTGAAGCTGCAACCAGAGGGCGCCTACAAGGTGTCTGCTTACTCACACAGTCTTCTCCTCCCCCCTCCGCTCTCCCTCCCCCTGTCCCTCCCAGTGGCGCACCCCGTCCAAGAATGGCGAGGCGGGTCTCTTCAAATCCACAGAGATGAGAGTCAAGCCAGTGAAGCTGCATGCAGAGGGGGGCAAGAACGTGACTATAACGAAGCCGGACTCCCTGCTGTTGACGATCTCAGCCGTCCACGGCATCGACCGCGTGATCGTTCCGGGCGGCAAGCTGACCGGCCCGAAGAAGAATCTGTCGCTGAAAGAGTGTTTGGATTTGAGCAATGGGGAGGAGGACATGGATTATGACAATTGAAGGGGCATTGTGCCGGTTTAGGAGAGCAAGCTGCAAGGCGAGTGGAGAGTGAAGAGTGAAGAGTGAATTGCTGCTGAAAGAGTGCTTGGATCTGAGCAATGGGGACTAGGACATGGATTATGACAATTGAAGAGGCATGGGGAAGGAAATCGACACGCAAGGACCGCATTCATGAGCCAGGAAGGAGTGCTTGGGTTGGGACCTGAGCAATGGTGAGGACGATATGGATTGCGACAATTGAAGAGGGGCGGTGAGGCGAAAGGTGGGGAGGAACACATTAGGGCAATGCACGTGGATGGGCCGAGGGATCACGGCGATTGCCTGAGAGAGTGTTTGGATATGTGCTATGGGGAGGCGGTCGATGGATTATGACGACTGAATAGGGGCGGTGAGGCGATCAGCTGGCAGGACATTGCATGGCCGGTGGGTGGGTGGGTGGGTGGGTGGATGGGTGGATGGGTCGGTGGGTGGGTGGGTGGGTAGGCAATAAGCTGTGCTGCTAGTTCCAAGCGCCGGTACATGTGCTGTACAAGGGGCTCTATGGTTCTGCAGTGTAGCATGTGAAGAAATTACCCGTAGACTACTGACGTACCGTAACAAAAAAGAATTGCATTACCTAACTAGTCTGCATTTCCATGAACTATACACTAACGGATTATAGATCAGGCTAGGTAGGACATTTGGAATGTATCCCATCAGTCTCCCTCTGCTTGTTCACCTGCTACACTCGTCCCCATTACGAGCACCTTGGGTCTTATCACCCCGTTAACCCCCTGTACAGCCACAGATCTCAGCATCACAACATTGCCCCTCGTTACAGTCACCCTGGGCCCTCTGTCAGTGTACACTCGTACACTCCAGTCCCCTCTAAGAGAAGCCTTCTTAAGCCGCTGAGTGCCATTAAACGCAGGAGTCATATACTGGGTGGAACAGTGGGGAGAGGGCGGGCGGGGTGTTGTGGGGAAGAGGGGGGGGGGGGGGGGGGGGGGAGGGGAAGGGGGGGGGGGAAAGAGGGGAAGGGGGAGGCACAGAGGATGAGAGGGATGAATTAATAACTGTTATTAAAGGAGGAGATTGGGCACCGATAAACTAGCTACCGTAATCCAGCCTGGCTGATTTGACCAGGTGTCCCCTCCTCTGAGAAACCAGCTTCATCCATCCTTCCTTCCGCGTAACAAAGTGCAGCAGAGTGCAGCCTTCCTTCCGCGTAACTAAGTGCAGCAGAGCGCAGCCTTCCTTCCGCGTAACAAATTGCAGCAGAGCGCAGCCTTTCTTCCGCGTAACAAAGTGCAGCAGAGCCACTTCCTTCAACAACCCCACGTCGCTCTCTACTACTTGAAGGTTCGCCACCTGCCTTCCCGCCTCACCTGGTGTCCTCGTCTCTGCGACACGAGCTTCCACAGTCGTTTCTTCCCCGTTATAAAGTGCAGCAGAGCCACTTCCCTCAACAACCCCACGTCATTCTCTAGGTGAAGCTTCACCCTGCGAGGTAAGGCGCGGATCGCGGCGTCGGAAGGGGCGAAAGCGGTGACGTCGTGGCAGGAGAGGAACGCAGGGAGATCTTCCAGAAGGCCTGGAGAGGGGGAGAGGAGGGAGGGTGAGGGGAGAAGCAGGTGGAACAAGCGTGAGGTAAGGCGCGGATGGCGGCGTCGGAAGGGGCGAAAACGGTCACTTCGCGGCAGGTGACGAACGCAGGGAGATTTTCCAGAAGGCCTGGAGAGGAGGGGAGGGGGAGAGGAGAGGAGGGGGAGAGGAGAGGAGGGGGAGGGAAGAGGGCGGGGGGGGGAGGGGGGAGGAAGAGGGGGGATAATAATTTCGTTTTGAGTCGACTAAAAACGGAAATCACTATCACACAGGGAGATCTTCCAGAAGGCATGGAGAGGAGGGGAGGGAGGGATGGAGGGGGGGGGAGGGAGGGAAAGGATCAGCGTGAGGTACGGATCCGTCATAAAACTGTGGGGCTGGGTAAACTAGAGTCTAGTCGCGCCGTCAGTAGGGGTGTGTGTAATAAGTCGATTTTTGAGTCGACTAAAAAATCGACTTATTACACACGGAAGGGGGGGGGGGGGGGGGGGGAGGAGGAAGGGAGAGGATCAACGTGAGGTAGGGATCGAGTCGCGCCGTCAGAAGCGACGAAAACTGTCACGTCGCGGCAGGAGAGGAAAGCAGGGAGATCGGCTAAAAAGTCTGGAGAGGAGGGGAGGGAGAGGGGGATGGGGGATGGGGGAGGGAAGAAGGAGGGAGGGGGGGGGGGGGGGGGGGAAAGAAGAAGCAGGTGGAACAAACGCGAGATAAGGCGCAGATGGCGGAGTCTGAAGGGGCGAAAATGGTGGCTTCGTGACAGAAGAGGAGAGCAGGGAGATCTGCGAGAATTCATGGAAGACAACGGGGGAAGGGAGGAGAAGAGAGGGGGGAGAATCTGATGTAAGAAAGCGAGATAAGGCGCGGATGGCGGCGTCTGAAGGTGGGCAGACGGTGGCTTCAAGACAGAAGAGGAGAGCAGGGAGATCTGCGAGAATTCCTGGCGCGTCAGGTGCGGTTCGAGAGCGGGAGGAAAGGTCGTCGAGTTTAGAGGAACCATTATTCGAATCAATAGTAGTTTTAGGGAATCGCAGACCTGTATCATTTAGGATCTCCGAGAATAGCTCGTAGCCGTTCGATCTGAGCCCTCTGGTGAGCTGTCTGGTTACCACCAGCCCGTTGTACTTCGCAGTCTGGTTAGCGTTCCCGTTAGTGCAGGATCCGATTACGGAAGAAGTGAGTTTTCCCAAAGAATGTTTTGCTTCGCCTAAGAAACTTGTTTTGGCTGTCGCGTGGAAGCACAGCCAGAAAGCGAGCAAAATAGTTGGAGATTGACTGTGAAACATAGTTTTCCTAACTAATCGTGCCATTATTGCTAGTAATCTGTGAAGGGATACTATGAACGAGCCCTGTCAGGCAAACCGCCGCTCCAAACTCTTCTCGACTTCGCCTTTTGGAGTCGAACGCTTCACGGTAACCAGTTCTCGCGACATCCCCCATTTGCCTGCTGATTTTGCTGCTGACAAACCCTTCACAAAAAATGGCTGATTTGAGCCCAGAGCCAGCCAAGAAGCTGATGGAAGTGACGCGTTGTGGTTACCCGTTCAGAGTTACCAGCAAGCAAGATCTCCAGCTGTTATGCGGGGCTCTTTTCGCCTGATCGTTTCTCCATTTCGCAGCTCGGTTCGCTGGAATGTCAACGGGGAGGAATTTGGCTGCAGCTCTCGTTCAATAAGCGGCGAGTTTTGTTTCGCCACTTCCCTCCTGTTCGCCCGTCCAGGACGCGCCGCCTTTGCGCACATTTTGATGTGTTTGTCCTGGAGCGGCAGCGATTTCCACAGTTCCTTCCTGCCCTGGTTACCGAATCTGCTGTGGTGGCTCCGTGGAGTGAAGCTCGCAACGAGGCATGCGAACTAGAACGAGGCACCGTCAGGAGACTTGGGTTTGGAGGAGCAATTAGCGCGAGGGAGATGGCCATGACGAAAACAGTTGATGACGGGTAACCAGCTGACGAGTTTCAAGGAAGTGTCGGTGACGAGACGCATTTTTCGTGCTGTTTGCAATTGCTGTGTGGCAGACGGCAGGAAATGGGGAGGGGAGCTGAGGCCGCCACGTCAAAACCGTTGACGTGGCTGCGTTGACAATCACTGCTCACCAACTAGAAGCACTCACTTTAGAGTAGAAATTACTACATTTTCAAAAGAGGGGAATTCACATCACACTAATGGCGTTTATGGAACAAAACAGTGAAGGAAAAATCATGAAATGATACAAACCGTTCCCATTCGGTTTCATTGTGCATTATAATAATTGCATCGCGTATCGGTTGTGACTAAACGCATCTATTAAAAAAAAGAAGTGTACTGATTCGGGCGTGCGTAAGGAAGTACGATTCCTTACTGGGGCTCGCCACAGCGAGTACAAGTGAACAGTGTGCGTCCGCAGGCTCGGCCCTTGGTTATCGCGCCAAACCAGCTCACGTCAACCTTTTCGGCCCCAACCTGATCCCAAGTCGCCCCAAACCCATTATGATCCCGTCACCCTCAGGACTATCGAGCCCTTGACTAGTCCAACCCTCGACATTCAACCTGGTCAACTGGCACTATATAAGCCCTAGGTCTCATTTGGATAGGACATATTGTAATCACGTTCTCCTTATAGTATTTTGCGCTATACTATAAGTTATAATTCATAACAGCTGGTATCAGAGCTAAGTTCCTGCCCATTAGGCTTCTGGTAGGGGAGTAGACCCTATCGGGGAAGGGGGCGGAAGGATGCTGATGGCGAGCGTACGTCGCGGAAATTAATTGCGCGGGTGTTGCGGATGCCGTCAGATCCTGCCCGATGGACGGCTGGGATTGGCCGGTCCTCCCCTTCCCTCGGCGTAGATTGAATTATTTCCCTTCGAAAAGTGGACGACGATTTCGCCGTGTTTTTCGGGTATGTTCGTTAGAGCTTTCGTAATTTTCGGGTGTTCGGACGGAGTCTTCGGATTGGCTTCCGAAAAAAACGAAGGCTTCGTCAGGAGAAGAGAAGTGTACGGGAGTCCTCAGAGGGCCGGGAGTTGGTCGTCAGGAGCGCGCAGGGGTGGCAAAAATGACAGGATGTACGGCGATGTACGTCTGTTACGCCATGCAGCGGCAGGGTGAACTGTAGCCGTGTCGCGAGTCCCGGCGTTTCCGGCAGGCTAGTTGCAGGCGATGGACAGGACTTCAAAACTGTTTCGGCAATAGGCGGATCCGACAATTTCGAAATGACACGATTGCAGAAGGACGTGTGGGTGTGCAGTTGTGTTGCAGCAGCTGGGATTTACGACCTCGGCGCTATTCACCTCGACGACCATCTGCAGGAGATGACGCTGTGCTGGAGTGAGTGTACTCAGCGAGGGCGAATTTCCGCGTGGGGAGGCGTTTTTCGTGGACCAGCGATTCATACCCCCACGATCAACGGAAACAGAGGCCACCACCCCTGGGTGTGTATTACGTGTTTTTCCACCGGTTGCCAAATGCGTTAACTGTCAGGAGTTGAAGCAGTGGGAGAAGAACGACGGGACTACTAGATTAGATGGGTTAGCGGCGTTCGGGCTGCTATTCGCTCAACTACGTCGCCCAGAAATCACCCTTCCCAGCAGGTAGCAGTGTCGACTCATTAATCGACGACTTCTAGCTGAATAAGGGGGGTGAACCTGCGAACTACACTATGCTGATGGAGTGTCCTCGAAAATTTAGGAGTTACTGTTGCAGTGGAGCTGAGAGTTTTTACCTGGTGCAGCAGAAAGAGGTTCCGACATTCGCGGGTGTAGTTTGACGAGTTTTTGACGGAGGAGGGAGTCGTCGAGCGATCAGTAGGCAGGCTCGTTAAAGCTCCTCTGACTAGAAGCGTGCGCACTCCTATCTCTGTGGATTCTCCTAGGTAGTTAAGCAGCAGCGAAGCGGTTTTGGGTAACGTGCAGCAGCCGCGAGATGGGTGAACGTCTGCACGGCCAGCTGAACAGGGGTACCAGAGTATTTTAGAGTTGGGTAACAGCTGGGCGGAGATCGACGGCGTATGATGCGCATTGACCCTGATCGACGGCAAAAACATTATGCCGAGGCCGT